TGGCGTTACTTCAGGCCCACGGCTAGTTCGGATAGTGAAGTCCGATTCGGGCTATGGTTTCAATGTTCGAGGACAAGTCAGTGAAGGAGGGCAGCTGCGGAGCATTAACGGGGAACTATACGCTCCATTGCAGCATGTTAGTGCTGTGTTACCGGGAGGTGCCGCCGACAGAGCCGGTATTTCAAAAGGGGACAGGATTCTTGAGGTGTAAGTGGCTACTCTCTTAGCTTAACCCAAAACATTTAATAAGTAGGTAACATACAAATTACTCTTTCAACCCAAACTGGTTGTCAATGGAATTGAAGGCAAACAGGACCTATGTGGGACCAGTGTCTGCCACGAAAAAGCCCGTGTGTGTGCATGCACTATCACACCGTTCATCCGAATGAAAGGAGTGCCTGTGTGTGTCCGAGAGAAAAGATCCAGGGATCATTAGGAATTCCCGTCACACTGAAACCTATTCCTCTCATCCACAGCATGCCAAATATTCTCAAGTCACCCCTTGTGCACATCCATATCATCCTAACCAGATGCCTTGTGTAATGTGTCTACATTGGAGTGTATCCGGTATATGCTGCTGTCCTTATATCAGTCATTACGGCTCAAACGATTCAAATCACTATCATCAGCATCACCGAATAGCTTTGGTGTGACTATCAGTGAACGCTGATGTGTGTGTGCTGTATTTAGGATGGTTGTCCTCATTGGCACGTTAGTATGCATGGAGATTGCCTGCTGATGTTAGGCTCTGTTGCTATGGAGTGAAGCACGCAGCATCAGTACCGTGCTTCAGTGTGTCTGTGTGTGTGGAGTAAGGTGATGCAGAAAGGGAGGGATGCCTTCACTTCGGTTCTCATTGGCTTCACTCTCTGAAATCCAGTGTGTCATTGGCTGGCTTTGGCACAGAGCTTTGATAATGGATGGCCCTCAGTAACCTGGCAGTTTGTTGACCCCATTATTTCTGTGTGCTTATGTCCAAGCCTGTAGATGTACACTATGTTTGGGCATTTTTGTATATTGTATATAAAAGAAAGCCTGCTAGCCTCTTTATCCCTGCATCAGCTATTTTGGTCAGTACTGCCTGTAAATTATGTGGCTGCAGTGTAGGACTAATGGTGCTTTACTGTCCTTATGTGGGACTGTCTCATCTACATTTTCTTCCATCCAGTGGATGACAAAAGCACAAAAATGGCTAGAGCATTACACTTTCATTGTTGTATTTAGCTGACGGTTTGACTTTGGTGCATGGATGCCTTCTGCCTTCCTGTCAAGGCGCAGTATATACACAATAACTGTGTACACACAGTGGAGTACCCGCATACCAGCTGCAGTGGCATACAGCCGCTGCCATTCTTTATGCGATCGATACTTCTTTGCACATTTACAAACAACTCCAGTCTCTCAGCCTTTGATGCAGAATAATCTATAGTGCTAGACACCTTTTTTCAGCCTCGTGCTTGATGATAAATGCTACATATAATGTTAAACATTCAGAACAATACGCCTTCTGTCTTTAAGGTGTGCAGTGTGTATTACTGTTGCAGATCTAGCCTTTAGTTTGATTGCATAAGCAAGTGTGATTGTTTAGAATCCAAAATAGAAAACCGTTTATTTTAAAAACTATATGGCACGCTCAGAAATGCTGATATTGCAAGTGCAAAGGCCACTACATCAGGTGTTTATTATATAGTCATAAAGTTGTGAGAAACCTGTTAAAATGCTCAGTTTGTGTTTTGTGTTCTTGGAGACATTTGCTCTTTTCTCACACTACTCCTACAAGATGGTTTTATTTGTGCTTCATGTATACCTATATTTGTCTTTGCTTATTTCTGTCTTCATAATAATCTTCCTCTGTAATGCTAATTTCAGCTTTGCTGTGTAGGCAAACCGCATATTCATGTGTTGCTACAGATGGGTGACAAACGAAAGGAAAACCTGCATTAAGTGTCTCAGTAAGGTGTTGTTCCACCATGTGCCACCAGAACAGCTTCAGTGCTCCTTGGCATTGATGCTACAACTCTCTGGACTCTACTGGAGGGATGAACACCATCTGTCCAAAAGATAGTCCCTGTTTCGATGTTTTGATGATGGTGGTGGAGACGCTGTCTGATACATCGCTCTGGTGACTGTGAAGGCCATAGCAAATGATTCACATCATTTTCATACTCATCAAACCACTCAGTGACTCCCCGTGCCCCATGAATGGAGGTACTGTCATCCTGGAAGAGACCACCCATTTATTCAATCTTTCCCTTCATTTGACACCCTTCTGTTTTTGTTGCTGTTATTAGGTATTGGAGAGCTTTTGTCCACTGAGCTTTAAACCACTAAATTGCAGAAATCTGTTATATTACCACAGAACATAAAACACACAGCAGTTGAATTTACTGAATCTCATTCCGGCATGGTTTAAAGTGTGAATATTCAATTTTAAAGCATGTCAGAAACAGCTAGAGGCGATGCTGGCAGAGTTTAGAGGAGACACTGTGGCTGTTTTGATCGAGGTTAACTATAGGTCAGGTTGCTATAGCACTATCATCAACGCTGTCATGCCTCTAACCCATGGCTGCCAAAGTGCACACACCCAGTGTTGCTCATGTTCAGCTGTGTTAATTATACTGTTAAACTTTTCAGTGTAATTTAGTCCAACACGAAGTACAGACTCAAAAGGTGCCATAGACACAAATAATTTAAGTAGTAGCCTTTTAAAAAACTGAATTTTATGAAAGACACATTAGATTTATTGCTATAAACACTCAATGGCCACTTTATTAGGTACACCTGTACAGTTGTATGCACTTCAATGAAACACTTCCACCTTAACATTTATGAAACTCAGTGTTTCAGGTTTTGGTGAAATTGTCATAAATGTATAAATTCAGTTATAAGTTTATTATTGAGGTCATATTTAAAGGTGGTGTTTTACTGAACTACATTATATTTAGAGGTGTTTTTATATTTTTTTGTCCTCCCCAGCTACATATATGAGTGGGTCAGAATATTAGGAACGCCTCTAAATATAATGTAGTCCAATACAACAGTCTCTTTTCATTCTCCAGTAATGGAGTGAATGTAGAGGGAGCGACCCATAAGCAGGTCGTGGACCTGATCCGGGCTGGTGAGAGGGAGCTGGTGCTGGCCGTGCTGTCCGTCCCGCCCCAGGAGGCCGACTGCTTGGATCCCGGAGATGACGGTTCAGCCCAGTCTTGCTATGACTACTCCGACAAGCAAGCTGTCCCCATCTCTGTGCCCTGCTACAAACACACTGAGCTCAACCAGGAAAAGTTTGTGGTGGGTGAATCTGTGAATGCGTGGATAGATAAATGAGGGGAGGATGGTAAATTTGGAAGTGCAGACAGATAATTAAGTGTGTGTTGAGACAGGAAATGGTGTGAGAGAGTAGTGTTTAAGAATAAGAAAGTTCAGAGGACAGCTGTTGTAATCAAACATAGACACAACACAGGTCTGACTACAGTGTCTGCAACTTTACGGGGTTAGATTCATGTTCTAACTAAATATTTCAAATAGTACTTGTGGTAGTAAACTATTTGTCTTTGAAGACTGACTTTAACTCCGTGTCATTGTTTTAGGAGGATAGTTGTTTTCACAGTTGTCTTTCTTTGCCTGAACCCTCACTCTTTTATTCCAGGTATATAATGTGTACATGGCAGGCAGGCAGCTGTGCTCCAAACGTTACCGGGAGTTTGTGATCCTACACCAAAACCTTAAGCGTGAGTTTGCCAACTTTACGTTTCCCAAGCTGCCTGGAAAATGGCCTTTTTCTCTGTCAGAGCAGCAGCTGGACGCACGGCGCCGAGGCCTGGAAGAATACTTAGAAAAAGGTGAGGGAGAGGTTTCACAAAGTCAAGAATCCACTAATTTCTACCATTTCTGGCATTTATAAAGTTAAGTTAAAGGGCAAGAAATGTGGAAAGGTCTGGGGAAAATATTGTCCACTCCGAAGTACATAACTACACAGCTTATGTCATTATATAGCCATTGTTATTCCATATACTTAACATAATGTTACATCTTTTATCTGCAGTGTGCTCTATACGGGTAATTGGAGAAAGTGACATCATGCAGGAGTTCCTGTCTGAATCAGATGAGGTAAAATATTAAAACTAATGAGTCTGTTTGTGTGGTCCTCTGCCGGTGACTCACTGTACAGTTGGTCTTTCCTTCTCTTGAACTAGAACTATAATGGCGTGTCAGATGTGGAGTTGAGAATAGCCATGCCCGACAAAACCACCCTCGTTGTCAGAGTTCGCAAAAACTCTACTACAGACCAGGTCTACCAGGTAACCGCATACTCAGGCCTGTTCTCTGTAATTAACTGTTATAACCAAAACTTTATAACAGTCATCTAGTATGTTGGTTTACCCTGTTTTTCTTTTCTCCCCCTGTCTTTCTGTCTCTTTCAGGCTGTGGTGCTGAAACTAGGGATGGACAGTGTAACGGCCAGCTACTTTGCTCTGTTTGAGGTCATCAACCACACCTTCAGTGAGTAAGAACATTTAACTGAAGTGTGATTTTGTGTCTGCTTCTGAAAATGTTTTCTGTCTTTGTTGAAGCACAGCGCTACTTTTCACTTTAGCTGTAGCCAAAGTCAACTAATAAGAAGGTATTTGCATCAGTGTTACGATTTCTCCATAGCTATCCTCTGTAAAATAATATAAAATAAATATCTCAGTGCCTTTAAAGACAAACATTCTTATATGTCTGGGTCCTCGCTTTCTCAAGGCTAGTGTAGTACAAGGATATGGAAGATTTTTAAAAAATCAACCATTCAGTCATAGCACCTTTCATACCGGTCAGCACGGTTCACTGACATAAAAATGAATAAACTATCAACTATGATGCAGCACCACTGAATTTATTCTCTATGAACTGTGTGCTTGGTCTGTTACTGCAAAAACAGAAGCAGCAATGAAAGCAAGTGAATTTTCATGTGTTTTGCATACAGGTCACAAGAGGCCAAACTTGTAGAGCGGCTCAGAAAATGAACTTTATCCCTCTAAGTGATATGGAGAAAGCTGTTCATGTTTTCTATCAATCGCTGATTAGTTTATCATAACTATTTGCATTCCTTCCACTTTCCAAAGTCCATATTATTTGCAGAATGCAGTAGATGGAATTCAGTGATGAGCCGCCCCACTCTTTCTCAAGCCTTTTCCTGCTGCTTAACTTTTCATTTCTGTTGACTTGAAGATGTTTTGTTTTTTTTAACATATGTAAACTGAAGCTCTGTCTTCTGTTTTTGTTGTTTTGTCAGTCCCTAAAATTTTAATTAAGCAAGTGTTAATATCAAAGAATAATTTAGCAAGTCTAAAAGTCTACAACTGTGCTAATGACTCGGTGTCTGTACTTAGGCACAGCAGGGCCTTAAGCTAAATGCTGACACCACACCATTTAACATGTTACTATAGCATGCTAGCAATTTGTAATTACCACTAAACAAAGGACGGCTGATAATGATAGGGATGGCAATAGTTTTATAGATATTTGGTCATAAATCTAAATATCTGACAAGTTTTAATTAAATATATATTGAAATACCAAACAAGTTTAGGCAGTTTCACAAATATGATGGTAGATGCTCTGTTGTTTTTCCTGTTTGAACATGCAGATAACAGATTTCCTGCCCTAAACACACAAAATAAAAGTAATCCATAGCATATAATATTCTTGCAAAACTGTGTAGAGATGGGTGCAAAGACTGGACCAAAATGACAGTGTTTTGCTGTTGATGTCACATCCCTTACTACATAAAGCCCTCCTCATCTTTTTCTCACCCTCTCTTCTTCAGTACGTAAACTTGCCCCCAACGAGTTTCCCCACAAACTGTATGTACAGAACTATACCTCAGCCATCCCAGGAACCTGCCTCACCCTGCGCAAGTGGCTCTTCACCACAGAAGAAGAGATTCTGCTCAATGATAACCAGCTTGCTGTCAACTACTTCTTCCACCAGGTCTGCACAAGCATCTGTCTTACTTTTGTTATTTTGTTTGTGTATTTGTTGTTTGTGTTTTTGTTTTGTTTTTGTAGCAAATTCCCCTGTCTGACTTTATCATTGCAGGCTGTGGATGATGTGAAGAAAGGCTTCATTAAAGCAGAGCAGAAGTCTTACCAGCTGCAGAAGCTGGCAGAACAGAAGAAGATGTCCATGGTCAGTCTCTCACACACACAAACACACAAACAACACAGCTATTATAGTGCGATACCCTAGTAACTCACATATACAGAGATAGGAAGATTTAATCACTGTAGTTTCTTATGTAATCTGCCCTCGTCCACCTGCCTCGTGCCCCTTCGCTGTTTGTGTTAGAGCAAAGTCTTCTGGAGGTGGAGTTAGTTTAGCAGGTAGAATGTAGGTTTGACTGGGGTGTCACAGACACACACACACACACACCTCTTGCTAGAAAAACATGAACATAGAAAGTGAGTGAGTTCTCTTCTGTCTGCCAACATAAATGCCTCATCCTCACTTTGGAGAGATTTAACCTGCAGCCCAGAAGGTGAATACTTGCACCATATTTTTAAGTCAGTTGGGCTGCAGAGAATAATGTTTGACTGTACTCTGCTTTATGGATTTACAGATTAGTTACAGTCAAACACTGGGAGGTGCATCTACATATCTACATGACTACATGTTGTAAGAAATAGTAAATAAATGCTATCTTACATCTTGTCTCTTCTGGGCTTTTCCTCTCAGTATCTGAGTTTGCTGAGGGGATGCGAGGGCTACAATGAGATCATATTCCCTCACTGTTCCTGTGACTCCCGACGCAAAGGCCACGTCATCACAGCCATCAGCATTCACCATTTCAAGCTGCATGCCTGCACAGAGGAAGGGACACTTGAGGCAAGGGCAACTCTTTCTTATCATGCTTTACCTTTTATTGACATAGTCTGTATGGCTGAATCCAAATGTCCAGACTTTACCGCACGCACAGACTCATGGACGTGGTGCTAGGGACTCAGTGAGTGCTGGAAGCTGTCCACAAAAATGAACTTTTTGTGGACTTCAAGGGAGTCCATTTGGGGTGGACCTCACCAGACCTTGAAGAAATTACTCATACGCGATATAGATGCCACATTGTAAAACATTAAAATAATAATCCATGGTGTGAAGATCCTCAGTGAGTTCAATATTGTTATAATATTGTAAGATGAGATATTCAGTATGTGTTATGGCTACAATGTCAGCCCTGTTAAGAACCATTCAGAAAAACATCTCCATGGAAATACAAGTCCCATCTCATAACACACAATTGCAGATGTGATGCATCTCAAGTTGTCCTCAAGTCGGTGGACATTTGGGTTCAGCCTGTGTATAAAACAGTGAGAGCAATGAAGCCTCAATTTTGTTTCAGAACCAGGTGATTGCATTCGACTGGGGGGAGATGCAGAGGTGGGACACAGATGAAGAAGGCATGGCTTTCTTCTTCGAATATGCACGGGGAGAGAAGAAACCGCGCTGGGTCAAAATATTTACTCCATACGTGAGTGTCACACACTCTTTATCACATTTTACTACTTAGGTTTTCCAGGAAATACACTGTTTCTGCTGACATGCAAAACATGAAGTTCTGGGATTTTAGAACTATAAATAATGGGTTTTATTTACAGTAAAGGTAACATAAAGGATTTTTTTCAGTTTGAGATTCTGTTAGGCTCTCTGTTTGAAGTGCCTGTCGTTTTATAGAATAATTACTATGATAACCAGGTTCCTGACTGTCTAACCTTTAGTCAAAACATCACCTGCTGAATCCAGTCCCAGCTGACACTGGGCGGGAGGCGGGGCACACCCTGGACAGCTCACCAGTCTATCACAGGGCTGACATGTAGAGACAGACACTTTCAGAACCTGCTAAATAAAATAAAAATGCTCCAGATGAGTAGAGTTATTGCTATAATTAAACAAATACTGTGACATTTTGGGGAACATGCTTGCTTGCATTCTACAGAAGGTTAGATGAGAGGATCAGTACCACTGAATGGTGTAAAGTAAATGGCCTCTGTGAATAGCTGTTTAGCTGAGCTTAGCATAAGGACTAAAAAAAAAAAAAACACCTGGCTTCCAACACATCTAAAGCTCTCTTAGCATGCTATAGCTCCTGTGTTTAATCCGAACAAAATCCAAAGAGGCTCTTAGCAGTTAACAGGCAACCAGCGAAGAGTGGAGAGAGGTCAACAGTCCCAGGCCAGAAATAGTCTAGCATGGCCAGTTGTTTGTTTTTACATTTGAAAAGATGAGGTATAACATGTTAAGTAGTGATCTCTGGAGGGGCTGGGAGGTGTATTTTGTTACCATTCGACAGAGGCAGGCTAGCTGTTTACACTTGTTCCCAGTCTTTTGGCTATATTTAGTTGTATAGTATAGTATATTAGTATATTTAGTTGTATCAATCTTCACATATAATTTTCCACCAAAAATCAAATAACAAATTACTCAAAACATTCCATCAAAATAAAATGCTAAACCAATGTTGTTTGTCTTTTTTTAATCTAAGTCCATGTTCCTTTCTGTCTTTGCTGTGATTGGATCAATATACAGTTTAACTACATGCATGAGTGCTTCGAAAGAGTCTTCTGTGAACTAAAGTGGAGGAAGGAGGTAAGGACCATCTACTTAAGTTGCATTCACATTACCGCTGAAGTGACTCAAATCCGATTCTTTTTTCCCCCCCGTTGAACAAACCAAATCAGATTTGGTTTTCCCCAAAATCAGACTTGGGCCACTTGCATCTGTGGTCCTAAACCTTATTTATATCTGATCTCTGACAATGCCAAATCTGTACATACAGTATGTGACAGTTTAGAATCTCATTCTGTTCGTACTGGAGCTGCATACATGTTACTTAATAAACATGAAGGTGAACCATCAACACAAAGAGACTGAATCGGACAAAACAATTAGAATTAGGCGTTACAGCCTGTATTATGAACACGGCCTTTCTTACCCAGCCTACTTTATTAAAAGACATTAACTAGTGTCCTTTACTGATAGCTGCTGCCTGTCTGTGTCTACAGGTAGAAGAGGAGGCTACAGACAAGGACAATAAGAACTGCAGTAAAGATGGTATGTGTGGCAAGGTAAGGCTTTGCCTGCCTCTGTCCAATCTTTGATCCAGTAGCAGCCTGGGTGAATTTCTCTGTTCTGTCCTGCGTGTCTTACGTTCGTGTGTCTCAATCCTGATAGCTTTTTTTGTTACAGAATATTTTCCAGCTCCTGAGGCACAGAAGGGATGGAGGCACCTAGGAAGGGAGATTGTTACCTCTTAACTACAGACCGTCTTCATCGACTCAGCTCCGTTTTGACTCCTATCTATAGCCCAACACTCAGCACTATTCAGCTATTAAGTACAACCTGAGACGATACCCCCGATACATGCAAAGCAAGTATCTGCAAATGAAGAACTCACATACACAGAAACATAAAACGCTACAGACACATGAATCCAGCACATCATAAACGTGCAGTCAGCAGAGTTCTGTCCAAAACACATGAAGTCATGGATTCATGCTAGCTGCGTTCTTACTGGCAGGGACTTAAAGTGGAATTTGACGTGCAAATGAGGAGGTTCTGATCCACCTCTGAAATAGTCCTACATGGGGAAAAAAAAGCTGAAGTGATAAAGGAAGTCATTGTGGACTAACAAGGGAAAATGAAAGTTATTAACACTGATCAGCAGTACTGGGTTGACCACAAGAAGACCCAAGCTTCTCAATTTACAAGTGTTTGTGCATGTTTACTATGTGTGCAGGGTATCCCAGAAGGTGAGGGGCCAACCGGAGTCAGGCCCTCACAATATAAGTCACAGCTGAATCACCTCACATGCAAAAATTCTCATATGTTTGCCGCTAAATCTGCATTTTTAAGAAAACTGTAAAATTGTGACATGGCAAATGACAGAAGGGAGAGAGAGATATTTTGGTGGACTGTCAGAGATCTGGGTTCTCAGAGCAGACAGCTGTGATGGTTTGACACGTGAGCAGGGACATGTTGAACTTTAGACTCGTGTTGCACTTTATCCAACAGTATTACCAACCTCCAAATATGGGAGTTGTCACCTAAGAAGCAGATCGAAGGCTGATACTGGAATAAACCTAGACTTATTACTTTACATTCATTTTTTTTGATTGATGGGGTACGGTATCATTATGTACTGCATCATCAAATGGTGTGTGTGGTATGACTTTATAGTATTTTGTGAGCTCTTCAAGCAAATAAGGCCGTTGTAGAGCAGCAGTGATGTGGAGCACTGATCGGTCAAGTGGCAGCGCAGTACCCAGACGAAACAGCAGGGGTCCTTCTCTTCATACCTGCATTCTGACTAGCTGCAATTACTTTGTTTCTGAGAGCCCCCACATGATTTATAATAGCCCTGCATTTCCATGCAGCAATATTTAACTCCGTAGCTTGTACTTTGCTGTACTGTTAAACCACTCATCCACTCGAGATTCAGGTTAAATGGGAAGAGGATTTCTTAGCAAAAAGGGCTGCTTGCACCCTACAATCAGCATGGTGTATATGAAGACACACATCACTGAAGGCCTTGTAGTACATGATCACACAACTGCAGCATCATGTATTAGACTTGGTGGCCCTATAAATAAGCCCGGTTAATGTTCTACCTTTTAGAATGTTATAATAACAATGTATTAAATTATAACAGTTATCTGCTGATGCATTTAAACTGACAAATAATTGATGAATCTTTAATGAAATTCAACAACAGCAATTTGTAAAGCAATAACATCAGTTCATATGATCATGTTATGAAGCTACTGAATATCATTAATTGATCATATTCAGTTATGGCCCAGCCCCTACTCCTGTTTAGCTGGTAATAAGAGCATTAACAGTATTTCCTATACCTCCAGGTGAAGAGTCATTGATTGACAACCATGACTCTTGTTAAGAGTGCTTGTTATAATGATGGTGCTTTTCTCAAATGCCAATCTGGTTGATGAATGAGCTTCAACAGACCATGGTGGGTGTGTAAAGGAGGTTTAATTGAATCTGTAAAGGCTCGAATTGAGAGATTGAATGTGCAATCCTAAAGGCCAAATGCATTTTCCAGAATTGTTGTCTGTTTACTGAACTGTGTGTCACGTAGTCGATTGATTGACATTGCCTGGTCTGCCCACGTGTTTGCTCTGTGGCTCCCAGCTCTCTCACTCTTAACTAAAGAAGTCACTGACATTATTTATTTCAGTAAGATAAAATGTTAAATTCATAAACTCATTAGGTTTTTCACCATAGCTTTAGGCTAAGCATGGAGAATGGAGGTTGACAACCTGCAGGGTCTTTTGACATGTTGAAATGTAAAATTTATGACAATGTTTGGTTATGTCACTTACTGTAATAAATTGTAACATATTCTTTTAAATAAACAAATTTATTGATGCCGATTTATTATATTTTGTCTCTGTGTGTGTGTGTGTGTGTGTGTGTGTGTGTTGGAAGCAAGGGGAGATCTAGACGTGGTGGCCAGCCTGAGATAATAAATCATAATTAATTTGTTTATTTTGTGTAAAATGAGACACACGGTGCTTTCTTCAGATAACTTTGGATGCGCTCCATTACAATCCCACCGCTGCTTTTTTTAAATACCTCAGCCATGACCCTCTGCTATGAACTGAGAGTACTGGTAGCCCTCCAGCAGCTTTTCTTTTGTTCTTGATCCCTGAATTGAGGCCACCAAACAAATCATATGTTCCTTTGTCCACTTCTCCAATCAGTCTCAATTACAATCACTGAAATTGGGATTCTTCTTGAGCCTTGCTTTCAGTGATCAGGTGTGGTTCAGACAGTGTTTTTCTATGCAAATGATTGGTTAAGGGCGTGTTAATATCTATTTATGGCTAAAAGTGAGAATGGAAAAAAGCTCATGCACTCGCGCCCAATTCCATGAAGATTTCGTGAGATTAATAAAACGGAACTGTGTGTACACAACAAGAGAGCAGTGAGTGTGCACATTGCTTTTGTTATGGAAACAATGCATGCGCTCACTTCTGTCTTCCAACATACACACTTTTAGCAATGGATCTACACAGAGTTTTATGCATCTAGCCCCTGGCCGGGGACATTGGTGGATCAGTAGATCAGTGTCTGTTTTCAGCTTTTCTCTCTTCTCATCGCCTTCCTGTCCTCTTTCTGACTCCAGCCTCTTTTAATGAGACCTGGGAGACAATTACCCAGCAGACGGTGAAATGGTCATTCCATAGCAGCCTATATAGAGTGTCTGCACAAAATAATTAAAAGCTATTGACTGCTGGTGGTGTGGGATGTAGTTTTGGAACAGCAAACATCTCTTGGCCAAAGACCTGGCCTCAGAGATGTCTTATGAATGATCAGACTTCAGTGTGAATCAGTTTCACATCATACCTTTGTTACAGGAAGAGAGGGGAGAGGCTGTTTTGTAGCTTGAATCATAATTACTTTAAAAAACGTTTTTTAAACAAACAAGCTACAACTGAGATTTTGATATCTCAAATTTTAGCCATGTAAGACATGCAGTCAGGAGGACTGTGGAAAATGTATGTGGGCTAGAAGCCTGTTTCCATTCCTTCTCACTATTAAACTGAAAAGCTGACAGACTGTAAAGTGGGTAAACAATATATATATTGTGTTATTTTAAAATCAGAGCCTTTATGCTTTTCAGTAGTCCTCTCACATTTTTAATTGGTTTAACCTTATTAAAATATAGCACATTGTTTCAATTGCCTTGCCTTCTATATTCTAGAATTGATGACATATACAGTCAGCAGTGTAAATGTGAGAACTGGAGAGAAGCAGAGAGCTTCAGGTGTGTGCGTGGTTGCTGCATTAGGTCTGCAGCACGTTCCGTACTTTACCACTTGATGTGTGAGTGGGTTTGTGTTCACACTGCTTTGTGTGTCTGTGGATGTGCGCGTACATTTGTGTGACAACTGCTGCTTCACATGGCAGCAGCCCCTGGATACCAAAGACACATTTCCCGCAGCCCACTCTCCTGCTCCTCGGTTTGCTTCTCCTCTGAACGAGCAGCTCTGTGTGAGCTGTCGACACAGAGCAGGTGGATGGCTGAGTCACTGGAGGGGGAGAGTGTCTCAGCTTTATTACCTGTGCTGTATTGCATCTCTCAGCAGCTCCGTCAGCCATAAGGGAAAAAGCAGCTCAGACCATTGAAATGCACTGTGAATTGCTCCACTAGTGAACCACCCTGCCGGTGCATGCTCAGAATGAAAAAGTTTCCATAGAAATAGCCTGGGATGAGAGTTTGAATAGCAAAACACCAATTAGCCAAATTCAATCATCAGAGAGTTTTTTTTTTATGATTTCATAGTCAATCATGTTACATGAAAATGTTTGCCAAGATCCTTCACATAAATTCTGATAAAGACATCCTCTGCCAACTCAGAATATATGACCAGTCACCCCTAAATGCTAGTCTAAGTATAGTTGTGCAGTAGCCACAGCCCAGAGGAGGAGGAGGCTTATTCTCTCCCCTCTTCCTCCCCCTCTCTCATCTCTCTTTCCTCCTGTCCCTCTCTCATTAATGAGCAATAATTTAAAAACTTTATTGGTCCTTATTTGCTTTCTTAGCACATTTTCCTCCCTCCTCTTTCTCTTCACCACGCAACCACCTTGCAAATTATGTACTCTCTTTCATTCTGCATCCTGTCAAGACTTCCCTTTCATCTCTCTTTCACCCTCTTTATTGCTGTGCTTCAGTGCTGTGCTTCTGGCTCATTTTCCTCCCCTTAACTCCTCTTGCCTTCAATTTCTGCATCCTTTTTGAAACATCGATCAGGGAAAGACAAGCTAGAGAATTAAAAGAATCTGACGCATGTCTAGAGCGGGAAAAAGAGGAGTTTATTTCTCAGCGTTTACAGCTCAGTCTGTCACAGCTGACTGGGGTTTGAGTGTTCGACACTTTGGCAAAATGTATGTCATGATTTACATTCAAAGCCAGAGTCATATAGATGATATTGTTCTGCATACGCCAGTGTGAGTGTGTGGATGGATGACTGAAGGTGTGTGTGTGTGTGTGTGTGTGTGTGTGTGTGTTCAGAAGATATCATAAATCTGTTAGGATTCTTGGAAAAATGACACAACCTGTTATTTCTCAGCAGTCTTTTACATTATGAATTAAAGGTTTTGAAATACTTCTTTTAGCTGTGTGGATAATCACTAGTGTGTTCCGCAACCAGAAATATCCAGCCTTGTCATTTCAGATATCACATGATTGCACAGTGTAGTTTTACAGAAGGTAAATCACAACAAATGGAAAGGATCCCTGTCTCAGCGGGGATATTCATTTTCTGCTTCATAGTAAGCACTACAGTATAATATGAAGCTAACATATTGTTTAAAGGTGCAGAAAATGAATCACCAGTGTCATCTTCCCTTTATTATTTCTAGGGATTTTTGTTACGAAAAACATTCCTGGATATCCTATTATTTAAAAGTCTTGACAACACCTCGAATGAAACTGAAATTAAATTGAAACGCCTACATTCTACTTAAAAAAAACTCAGTGGTCACACAAAATTTGTACAGCAGAATGATTTATATAAGTGTGAGTGCAGAAGAGAGCGCAGAGGAAATGGTGTGCACGGTCATCACAAAGCCCCTTTAGAATCTCTACTGACAAGCAATTGAAGATCAGTGAACAGTAAACTTAGCTTGAATGAGAAATTATAAAGTGATAAAGGAATCCTGCTTGAGCGTGACAGGTCTGTCATTTTACATGCAGCACATTGGTGCCAATTTTTTTTAATGAGCAATTCTGTGTTGTATCTCTGGCAGTACAATCACTTTTCAAATTTAGGATGATGATACGAGGATGATTCTCCTTTATGATTCTACTGGCAAAGCAATTCATGTCTTATATAATCTTTAAACTTAAAAACTAACTAATGATGTTGTCAGTTTTCTCACAAACAATCATCCATATTTTGATGAAAATGCCATAAAAAGCTGTGCAAAAAGAATGTAAAGGTGAGCGTGACCAGGTATACTTTATTTAAAAAGAAAAACATTAAGCCTCATGTTTCTACTATGAATCTACTCAACATGTGCCATGGTCCAGCTCATCTTATTAAACAGGAAATATTTGGCATTCTGTGTCCCAGTGTCATTAACAGCAATTGTGCTTCCAATAAATCCTTATCTGTATTATCCTTTAACGTCCCCTTCTCTCTCTCAGATCTCTGTCTTTGGCTTCTCAGAGGAAATCCTTTGACAGTGCTTCTCCAAAGTTAGGTGCAGCCAGGAGAATAGCGATGGTACAGATGATGTTGAAAACACTGAATCCCACCAAGCAGAGGCGGTCGATGACAGCTGCAGCAAACTGCCACTGCTCTGCCAAACTCAGCTGCCGATCCTGTTCCCGAACATGATCGACTAAGAACTGCACCTCCACCAGCAGAGCCTGCAGCTGGTTGTCTACCGCCGCACATCGAATCACACCGCTGTGGGTGTGCATGGCAGCTGATCTCCAGGCTTCAGCCACTGCCTCTAAGCCGCATGTGGATGTGGTTGATAGGTCAGGATCCAGGGACAGTAGAGGTTCTTGTAGGGGGCTCCCAAGCACAGAAGATGAGAGTTTTTGATGGACTGGTATATCTCCAGCTGGTCCTCCACCTCCTGGTGCTGCTCCCTCTCCCCCTCCTGCACCTGGTCCAATGTTAAACCTGCCATGACTGGTGATTCTGCTCCTCTGAACTGGCTCCAGTTCTGTTGTGGTCTGGAAGCCCATGTAAGGCAGATGACCATTAGACTGAGGGTGTTGACTGGGGCTGAGATCTCTGTGGCTGGGATTAGGGAGGATAACAACCTGGGAGTTGGACCTGTGAGGCGGTGGGTGTGACAGAGGGTGGCTGAGCTGGGCGAGGCTGGCCTGCAGGGAATGAAAGCTCTGAGGGAAGAGGGAGGGTACTGGGGTGGGGATGGTGGAGGTGGTAATGGTATTGGTTGGCGAAGAGAGGGCCTTGCTCTGAGAGTCTGCCTGGATGTTGGAAAAAGCTGGGTCTGCTCCCTCACCTGGACGCTTCATCCGCAAAAACCAAGGAACCCACTGTAGCAGAACCAAGTGCACCTGACAAACAAGGACACACTAAACAATCTCCCTGAGAAGATCTAAGCTGAGTCTACGTTAAATCACTTCTCAAATCACAGTTTTGTACAGCTTACTCTGATTTTAATTAATTCAGCCCCCACTTTCACTTAAAGCTCTTCGGGATGTTATTTTTAGTATTGTTCAGAAAATTGCTCCATAAAAAAGTTTATTATATCATTATTATAAACTCACCAAACGTGGCATGTGTCCACCATTGGGGTTGTGGTGATGGAACTGGAGGACAATGACTGTCGCTACTACTGACATCCCGACAATCACCATGGTGCTGGCAAAGTACTGACCTGCGACAGAACTCGTTTCACTCATGAGGATGCCGACAGTCTGCATGCTCTGAACTATTTTAGTGCCCACAAATAGATGCAAACATATGCACTGGATAAGAGAGACAGACCTATCAGTGGTACTGAATCTGAAGTGGCAGGCATAATCTCTGCAACCATCAGCATGAAGACAGTCAGAGAAAGCAGAACGGTGATGCCTGGAGGCAGACATGAGATGCCAGGGAGTTGGGGGTTTCAAACAAAAACAAAAGAGAAGCCTTAAGAGAAGAGTAGACAGAACATGTGTATACCCAGTGGAACAGTATATTTGGTATGCTGCGCTTGGCTTCTCTCTCTTACTCTCTCATGTTCCTTCTTTTTTGACCTTGTCTTTTCTCTGTCTCAGCTACTCTGATTAGCCCCCTAGACACCATGCAAATGCTAACGTTTTGAAGTATGGCAACTTAAAGAGATTATAAGAGAAAAAAAGGCAAGAGTAAAATGAATACATGGGCTAGAAATTTACTTTAACTGATAGAAAATGGATGGATTGTTTTCCATTTTTTCATACTTAGTGTCACACCAACCCTCTCTCCTGTTCTTCTCCTCACAGTTTTTATCATTCCTCACCAAGGCTGATCTTCTCCCCAGAGTTGGCAGGGAGCAGGAAGACCAGCAAGGTCATAGAGGAGAGCAGTGCAGAGGGGATGAGAAGGTTGAGAGTGTAAAACAAGGTCCTCCTCCGTAATGTCACCACAAAGGTAACGTCTGGGTAAGGCTCTGCACAGCAGTCATAGAAAACCTCATGACGATCCCCAGGGACTTCTGAGAGAAGAGCCAGCAGAAAAAAAAAGATATTATAACACAGAAAACTCTGCTATGGGCTAAGAAAGCAAGAAAACAACACATCAAAAATCTCAGGAACTCAGTATAATTTGTAAAGTGTGCACTGATTAAGAATGAAGTGAGATGTCTAGTGTTGTGAAGTGAGAAAATAAGAAATGAGGGCCTGTTTTTACAGAAATTTGGTTGTTTTTCTATACTGTAAGAGCCTAAAAGTACATTTCATTTAAAAAAAAATCAAATTCTAAAATCTAATTTTACATTTAAATATATTACAATACAGTACTGTATTGTTACTAAGCAACACAGTTTGTCATGGAGCACCTCAGCAGCCTGTTTTACCCAGTAGGTCCCACTCTCCATTGGGCATGTATCTTGACACATCGGCCTCCTGCATCTGGATGTCCAGCAGCAAGCCGTCAAATGTCCAAGAACCGAACTTCAGTTCACAGCGCTGGATGTCAAATGGAAACCATCGCACATCCACGTTACATGTGCTGATAAATATTCCTTCACAAGAAGAAGAAAGAAATTTGTAAGTATGAAAGTCAATCAAAACATCCCAAGATGTAATGGAGGATAAAATTTGATAAAACAGTTCAAAAAATATAAAGTATCTAAAAGTGAAAAGAACATATTACTGCAGCATAGCTGATGTTTAAAAACTCACCTGGGGGCTGATACTCACAGAAGCCGCTGGAGTTAACTAGCACATTGGTCTTAAAGGTGGCGTCAAACTTATCATGAGCACTGAAGGAGAGCAACACAGTGATAAAGATGGATTAGAGCTCAAAAGAAGCCTTGTGTAAGTATGTGATTTTATGTCACATACCTGTTGTAAAGCAAAATGTCAGGCGTCCAGACCTGGATGGAAGTGAAACGGAGGTTCTTAACTCCAGGATACTCAGATTGGTTCCACTGGAGGTAGTGGTCATACCAGTGCTGAGACACAAGCACAAACACTTGAATTAAACACTCAGACATACACGGAGACGACATAGATACATAGATGACACAGAACTGTCAATCTGGTTTTCCATATTGTAATTGTATTATTGCGATTTTACTTTATTCTTTACACACAACTGTTGCGTGTCTGTTCTGGAGAAGGGATCCTTCCTGTTGCTCTTACTGAAGTCTCTTCTGGCAGATTTTTCTGATGCAAAAGGATATACGTTGTTGTGCACTGCACAGATTGTGAAACCTTTTACAGAAAAATTGTGATTTGTGATTTTGGGTTATATAAATAGAGCTGACTTGACTTGAGATAAGTAGATGGTCAATTAGCTTCAGTTCTCTAGGTATCACAGTTTTCATAATAAGGCTATGCTGGAGCAGAAGAAAGAAGGAATCAGCACTGAAGTCCTCAGATACTGCATCAACCTGCTGAAGTGTCATGACACTGAAGCCCAAAAAGCATCTGGGATGATAATGTACATCTGTGCCTGCAAGGGATGAGGAAGCATGCAACCCTCCCCCCACCAAAAAACAAATTCACAACACATATCAGTATCACTTTATTATACTCACCATCTGCAGCCAGACATTTGTTGTGAGGATCTGGTTCTTTTCATCCTTGTATAACACAAAACCAGTAAGGGAATGGTTGATTTAATTACTTTTAAGGTTTGTCTTGAAACAGCACAGTAAAGAGGGTTTGTTGCACTTGATCCTCCTGTCGATACTGGTTGTAAAAAGATCTCTTTCTAATGCAATTTCAGTGCAAGTGACGGGGACAGATCCACAGTCCTATTCCATGTAAAATGCATTTCTAAGTTTCAGCAGACTAAAAATGTAGACTGGTATTTTCCAAAGTTACAGTTTTTAAAATCTGAAATTCACTCTTCTGTACTGTAACTCTCACTGTCCATGGAAAGGTGCTAAAATTATTTTATAGTTTGGGAGAAACTCATCTGATTTGAATAATTCACACTGATGAAGACTCTTATTAGCTTCAAATGAACTTTAGAATGCAGTTTTACACTGAATAAAGGAGATCTTCAGCCAGTAAGAAGCAGAGAAACGATGAATAATGCTTTAAATGTACACAAAAGCATGGGTGTGTTGTGTTACAGCAGACAAAAAATGTGAACTAATTCTATAAAATTCTTTAGGAGTATGTTTCTTGTTTGTATGTATTGTGTGAGTTTAACATTGCGTTTATATGCCATGCGTACCACATCCATGACCTGCATCAGAGTAAGGGAGAACTGAACAGTGAGAGTCTGGGAGTCATTGGCCACTGGTCTCTCCATGGGGTTGTAGTCCCTCAGCAGCTCCCTGAGCAGAAAGCGCTGATGAGGACCCTGCATTGATACTGAATAAGGGGAGGGTGGAGAGAGGAGGAGGGGGGGGAGGAGGGGGAGAGAGGTTAATGGAGGGGAGAAAAATGTGAGAAAGGTGAATCACAAGAGAAGAGCAAGAGAAAAGGAAGACTATGAGAAAACACTGCAGACTGAGCACTAGCATAAAAACAGTGTGATATAGATCTTGCAAAAACATTTTGTAGACCAGGTGAATATATAATATATATGTAATCACAAACATATAGTTTAGTGGATGATAGACGACATAAGAAAATAGACTGAAAATGTGTGAGAGAAAGAGAGGAGAAGGCAGAAAGAAAAAAGCTGCTCCTCCTAATCAATTACAGTACACCCCCTGATTGATTGTCAGCAGACAGACACCGCCCATCCATCACTGTTGAAATGCCAGTTTCATGTCATGCAGGAAATAGTGACAGTATTAACCACAGAAACACCCCAGAATTTGGAGGCACAAATCCTCATGGAGGCATACGAGGAGGTCAAAGAAATAATTAAGAAGAAAGTGTTAGATTCTAACCTCTTTGTCAGAAATCAACCCAATTCTTTAGTTGGAGCACGAGAAGTGACGACAGGAGAGGACTGTTTAAAATCAACAGAAAGTTTACTGAAAGTCTGATTACAAGAAAGTCTCACAGCGCTGGATTCAGAGAGATAGAGCTCCCGCAGGAAGCCCCCTAATCACTCAGCTCTTTCAGCATATCTATCTATAAATTACAGTATTGTCTTATCTATAACAAAAATGAGCATCTCAGTCATGTATGTAATCTGCAGCACAGATGATTAAATTTCATACTCTTGCTGACTCAAAAAAACAAAACCTATTTTTTCTGTCTGGCTGTACAGCAACACAACAGTACATTAACTGCACAGTTATCAGGCACAAACTGTTCAGTGGCACAAACATTAATGAGCACATGCAGTATTTTCAGTACATGTACAAAACACACTTGTTTGAGTCAATGAAAGTCACTCACCCCGAAGCAGAGTTGTGATTATCAACAGCCACAGATCCACAGCCTGCCACATACTGCATTCCTCTTTATTGACAGGGAGAAATAGAAAGTGAAGATGAGGGAGATTCAGAAAAAGAGAGTGAGCAAGAGATCAAGGTTTGAAGAGACCTTGTGGAAAAGAAGTGATGCGAGTGTAATTCAGACAGTGGCAGATCAGAGAAAAGAGAAGCCAGAGAGTGGGAGAGAGAGTGAGTGAGAAATGCAGTGAAATGAATTCTCCTCTGAAGAGGGAGATGCTCTGTGTTAGAGTCAGATTCTGAGAGCTGGGCTACAGCTCAGACTCACCCTTCATGTTTTTCTGCTCATTACCTCCTGAGGACTTTCAGATATGTCATTATCTGTCATCACATGTCAGTTATCTCCTTTCATTTTACCTTGGACTTGTTCATTGATTTTCTGGGTTGAAGGATCTCAAGAGGGGCTTTACGTCTTTGGGGAACTCTATAAATATGGTCAGCCATCCAAGTAATGGGATTATAGTAGCTGTTGCCCCGATGTCTTCAACTCAAGGCTTGAAGAAAGAAAATAGAAAGAAGAGGGAAACATTTTTCTAGATTCTTCTACTAGTGACCTATAAGATGGCATTGTTAAATCAGTTTGTTGAAATATTTTTAAGTTATTTGAGTCTACTGCTTTCTAATTTTTACCTGCAAGCATATTTTGAAAGCTGCTTTGCTGTTGAACTAGTCAAATCTGACATCAGCACATTCATAGAGAAATGATGACACCCACTGGATATGTCTGTAAAGTGCAAAAACCTCACTTGCTGGAGCCAATGCCAGCTGACACTGGGCCTCACTTGCTGGAGCCAATACCAGCTGACACTGGGCGAGAGGCAGGGTATACCCTGAATGGGTCACCAGTCTATCACAGAGCTGACACATAGAGGGAAACAGCCATTCAAACTCACATTCACACTACAGTGTTGCTAGTCAACCTAATCTGCATGTGTTTCACCTATGGGTGGAAGCCAGAATACCCAGAGGAAACAACACAGGTACAGGGAGAACATGTCACCTCCACACAGAAAGGCCCTGTACTGCTAACCACTGCACCATATTGTAAATATGATATTGAAAAAATTATATAAATATATAATGTATTTATTAAATAAACACAGAGTTGATCACAACTTGGTCATTGAGACCAGTCAACATGAACAAGGCTGAAGGTTTTGCTAACAATAAGTAGAGACAGACCTTCTGTACTGCAGCCTGTATAAACAACTACATTTTTCAGCAACATAAAACTCAAGCTGGGTGTATCAGAATTCAGTTAATATTATTATACAAAGACATGTTGAGATACAGTTTAATATACATAGTTTGGTCTTTTGGTTGTAATATAACTTATTGCCCCCTCCTAAACTCCATTGATCCAGTTTATCCAGTTTTCTTATCTAGTTTAATGTGTTTTTGCAATTGTTTTTTAATCTTTACCTTGTTTATCTATGACCTTCCATTTTACATTTTTGTAAACCTTTGTTTTTAAAAAGCACTATGCAAATAAAAATTACTAAAATAAAATGGAAAATGTAGCCTACTTGAGGGAAACTTGACATCGCAGTAGCATACAAGACAAAATATAAACTCTGTATTTCCACTATATAGTGATAGGCACGAAACCATGTAAAGATACTCAGCATAAAGGGCTACAGCTGAAAAATAGTCGAACCTTGCCGTATGTCAACGTCATTCACATGCGACACGTAGCCGTTTGTGTCAGTCGCATGCGACAAGCGTCACTTCTTCGTTCATCAGTTCTTGATTGTTTCTGTCGCGGCATTAAAATATTACACACCATCAAGAGCGCATAAAGGCCAAACGCCTCGAGTCAAGGTAACCCATTAAAGCGATCAGGGTTCTGTAAATCATTTGTTATGGTTTGTGTGAGGACTAGTTTGGGTGTTTTGCGATAGCATACAATAAAGCGGCTGTGCTGCGGGTAGTAATTGGAAATGGTGCAGTGCCAGTGCGGTGTATTGCTGCTACTGAGGAGTTAGCGGGCTAGTTTAACGTTAGCAGGAGGAGGACTGATGTTCAGATGGCTGTGGCTAGCTGCACATTGTGTCTTGTAACATGGCTTTACCGTAACAGGGAGTAAATATCTGGGCACTGGAGTCACTGTAGTTCAAATAAAAATGTAGTGCATCTGAGCCTTAGCAGTCGAACAGTTGTAGCTACATTGTATGGTCCTTCAAAGATTAACAAGTCTGCGTCAAGTCAAAGCAAGAGATAGCAGCAAGGACTCCTGACCTCTGCCCGTTACTGTGGTGGTGATGAACCCTTACTGACATGGGCATTCATCAGTTTTGACCCCCAAATGCTAAATGTATTTAAGGCGTCAAATAGCTTGTAGCTTGTGCGAATAAGGGTAACGTCAGCAGTGTTTGTCGAATGGTTTTTCGATTGTCTCGGAGGTTATTGTTTGTATCAAAACTGCGATAGCCGGTCAAACTTTATTCATACCATTGCTATCGAGAAGCGTTAAATTTGGAACTGTGTTCACATTGCTTTTATATAGCCTATTCTAACGCTACGCGGCTCAATATATAATACAATATTTTCTATAACATTAACGTCATATAGCCGATATTTTCTAATGCAGCATGGTTAATTTGTACCTGACAAAGATACTTAGCTGTACACATGTATCAGTCAAGTTTAACGGAAGGAAACGGACCACAGAAACGCATCCCCAGAAACTGGGTGCAATTACTAAAATATAAATGGTGTAAAATCACTTCAGTGTGGTCCTACCAAGTCTCCCTACTGTTCTGCTTCTCAAGTTAAACTGTGCGCTTTTAACGAGTGAATACGGCAGCATGTGCTTGTGCTGATCACAGTGGCCTTCCCCTGGTAGTAATTCTTATGTGTTATCCTATAACAATCCTGTTACATGCTCCCGTTTTGCAGTGATATTTGTATATCCGAAAATGTATTGTATTACTGTAACTCATCATTTTCCTCCTCCGTTTTACTTTTAATGTGAGAATCGGAGCTTTACATGTGATGTCTCCTCTACCACGGTGCTCCTAACGCACAGCCACACTGATTGATTGAGTTGGACACAGAGCGACCTCTTTCAGCATGGAAATTAATCGACACACATAGAGTTATACTTAGTGCTTAAGTTGGTGCTTTTTAAGTACTTTATAGACACGTCTGCCAAGTTGTATTGTATCAAATCAAATAAAACCTGAGGCTATTTATATAGCACATTTCATCCAAGTTAATGCAATTCAAAGTGCCTTACAACTAAAAGAGAACAAGGCAGAAAAAGGCAGGTAAACATGAAAAAATGTCCCTTAAACTATATAAATCTTTCTATTCAACCACTGGTTGGTCTGGCCGCGCCTCCGCAGGTCACGTGACGCACAGGAGAGAAACTGAACTTCGTTAGAAACGAAATCAAAACTTAAGTCTTTCCATATCCAGGGTTTCCCTTTTATTACACGAGTCGGGCTGTGATTCCCTCTATTCTGGCAGTGCAACACTTCAGCAACGCGTTTTACATCACTCTATACAGCATTTATAAGCGAGCGACAGCACCTAGTGTTTTCATTGAGGAAGCTGTAAACGGGACCAAGCTCATCCGAACCGGAAGAATCTGCGTGTTGGGAAAATAGTTCAGTCGTTTATAATCTACAACCGGTTCCGTGTTTGCTTTACGTGCCTATTCTCTGATTTATGTATCGTGTGTAACTTATGGTTTGTATTTTTGCGAATAATTCATCGGATCATTAACGCTTCCCACTATTGGACCACAGGAGGTGAGATACACAATACCCCGTGACCCCACCGGGCCCAGTGCTACCAGTTAATATGGTGTGTTGTGTACACCTGTGGAAATATGTGCTCCCAGATTTACCAGGATTCATTCCTACAGTGCCAACTAAACAAGGGCCACAAAGGAGTATCAAAAATACCACAATGTATAACATTTCTTTAATTAGCTCTTTCCTGGTATGACAGCATGAGAAAGAGCTAATTCTCAGTTGTCAAATAGCTTGTCTTGCCTCTGCTCAGGCTCAAAACAGAGAAGAGCCCAATGACGGTGGATACTGAAAAATACAGAGGTGTTGTTTTGGCTGTGGCCTTGCATTAGGGTCAAGATGAGTCAGCTCCAAGTTTGGCCCCATTGGTCCCTATTACTCTGATGGACCAGTGCTATTAATAATGTGCAGCATTTGGGCCTGCTCAACTCTGTTTGAGGCAGGACCAGGGTTTGTTGTACCAAAGAAGGATATTGGGATTATGCTGTTTTTCAGGATCTACATTTCTGTTTGAAGAGTGTTTTCAATCATGACATAAACGTAGCTTTGCAAAAATGTGTTATTACAGCCAGTACTGTCAACTAGTAGCTGCATGGTTTTCGATCCACAGCTTGTCCCTATCAGGCAGCCTGTTATGTTCTTGTGTCCTTGAAACTGTCCTTTTTGTTTGCGTCAGTGTCTCACTTTCCCCCTACTAAGGATCTAGATCCAGCAAAAGTGTTTAAGGCCAGAAATAAAACAGAATGTTCACAAGAATGTCTGAATTATTAATCACTATCGTTTTATCCTGGGATAGAGTTTCAGTGTGACTGTAAGAGACAGTGTATTACCCTGCAGTATCCTTGCAGACTGGTTAGGGTATGATCTCAAGGTGTACACAGCAGCACTGATCGGGTTGGTGTATGTCAAAGCATATCCTCTGCACATAAGGCACACATTTCATTGTCTACTTTCTGTATACTGCATTTCAGGAAGGCAAGACATGTAAGGTGACATAGAACAGGTATAGATTCACTGACCAACACTTGAGCAAACTGAAGACTTGCTAACTTGTGCTATCGGCTAGAATGATCATTTTTCTCCCCCCCCAAGCTGCTCCTAATTTTTTATATCATTGTATTACTGCTGTTGTTTACATTCATTCACTAATATTCCCCTAATGTTTGTATTTCAGGTGCTCTGTGTGCAACTGGCCTATCCTGACTTTCTCTCAGGGTCTGCTATTTCTGCTAGAGGACATACACTCCTACAGAAGCTGCACAGCCAGCTGCACTAGACCCCTTCACGTTCACCCCCTGCGCTATGAGCAGAGGTAGGGGAGGGCCTTTCAAAGAACACTATCACAGACTTCCACCATCCCTCCTCAAACCTAGGGAGAATTATTACAGATCTGGCCTTTACGCCAGAGCTGGTTCACAGCAGGTCCCACATTTAGGTTATTGCAACAGCCCCACCCCTCCTGTAGTACCCATAGAAGCCCCAGCTCCTCGTCTCTTAGCCTCTGCTCCACCCCTACCAAGCCCCACAATAAAGTAGCCTCTAAACCTGTGGCTCTTAATTCACAAAATCCCAATCCTGGTCCTGTTCCTTATTCATTTCAGTACCAACAGATAGAGTTTTTGAGAGGACACAGCTCTGAGGCTCCTCAGTTCAGACCCAGTCCAGGAGGGGGAGTGGTACCTGGGAGGCCACCTAGTTCCTTGTACCAGCCACAGTCAGGGTACATTAGATATCCAGACTACAACAGCAGCCCTAGGGGTAGAAGTAGATATAACCAGGACCAGAGTTTTGCATACCCACCCAGTTTAGGAGCCCAGCGGGGCCCCCCAGGCCTTCAGCACCCAAATCAAAACCAATCACATGGTAAAAACCAAAACCCCTACTCCAACAGGCAGTGGTGTGTCCAAACTGACTCACTGCATGACAGTTTTAAGACCTTGTCTCTTCAAGACAGGCCCAACAGACGAGACAGGTTTTACAAACATCCTGCATCCAGCATATCAGCAGATTTGAGCTTTACTAAAGTTATCACTCTCAATCCTGACATCCAAGACCAGATACATAGGGCTTTGGCTGCTTTGAAGCCAAGTGAGAAGATCTGTGCAAAATTGTTAGCCAAAAAGCTGCATCTACCCAAAAAGATTGTGAACCAAGCCCTCTACTCTTTGGAGCGCTCACACAAAGCATCTAAGCAAGGGCTTTATCCCCCTGAGTGGTCTCTTTACAGAGAACCTCTCATAGGCAAGGAAGATCAGAGTTCTGAAGTACAAAGTCCACCATCCCACCTGAGTGTCAGTTTAGAACACCCTCATAAATTTGAAGCCATAGTTGAGCGAAAAAGAGAAGCAGTAAAAAGCAGAGGACAAGTAAAAGAAGAGGACTCTGACACCGAGTCCAGTTCTTCCTGCTGCTCTTCGTTAGAGTCATCTGAATTGGAAGAATCCCAGTCACCAGTGAAAGGGCAGCAGGAAGAGAAACAACATCCTGGCACTACCAGCTCCCCTGATCAGGAACTTCAGCTTTCCACAATGGCAGACCAGAAGGAGCAAATTCTGCAGTACCTCCTGGGAGCACATGAGGCAACTGCTCTTCTCATAGCCAAAAATCTGGGTTTTAGGAGTGCCAAGCAGGTCAATCCTACCCTTTATACCCTGGAGAATCAGGGAGATGTGATCAAGAATGGTGAAGTCAACCCTCCCACCTGGGAGCTTTCCAACCGCCGCAGAGAGAGGATGGAGAGGAGCCTGAAAGCTGCACAGAGCACCACAGCACTGAGGTTTCAGTTGGAGGGGGAAGCTGCTAGAGATGAGAAGGGAGGAGGGTCCATCTTCCTGCTGTCATTGCCACAACCACCAATACCAGGCCTTGAGCCTATCCCACCTCCAGAGGGCTGGATGCCAGAGCAAAGTCACAGTGAAGCGGTAGGTCAAATTTCTGTTTTGCTTTGCATTTCTGTATTTATTTAATGGTATTAACATGAATACTTTCTTTTTAATATAGAAAGATATCTTACACCTGACATGGCAGCCATATGTGGGAAAAAATAAGGAGAAAGATTTGTTCAGTTGAGGGTGCTCATACTTATAAAAGGAGAAATGTTGATTAAAAACATGACTAGAAATAACTAAAATTGAATGTTTAGCTGAACCTTAATGGCTCAATGATTTCTAGATGATAAAAATATGTCCTCCAGAGTAATGGTGCACAGCTTCTAGAAATAGTTTGACATTTTGAGACATGAGTTTATTTGCTTGTTACCCGGTTTCCAGTTTTTATGTTAAGCTAAATTAAACAACAGTTAGGGCTGGATATTGATTTCTCGATTCAGTTCAATTTAGATTCCATTTATTTAGATTCAGTATGATTCATGATGATTAATTTATGTCAGATAAATTTTAAAGTTGTATGAAGTGTTTCTCAGGCTGTCACTTTTGTACACGGATCTCAAGATCAGCTACAACCACAGCCACAGACATCTAACCATCCTGAAACCCTCCATCAAGATCTTCTTATGTAATAGGCTTACTAGTAACTGAGCTGGCATTAGCCAGGTGAGTGAGAGAGCTGAGCTGCACATGATGTCCAAGACAGATATCGACAAAGAGCAGAAATTCTTCCTTGGAAATGAACCGGGCTACGGATACATTATGTACATAAACTGCAAAGCATACATGCTATATATATACAGTGCCTTGCGAAAGTATTCGGCCCCCTTGAACTTTGCGACCTTTTGCCACATTTCAGGCTTCAAACATAAAGATATAAAACTGTAATTTTTTGTGAAGAATCAACAACAAGTGGGACACAATCATGAAGTAGAACGAAATTTATTGGATATTTCAAACGTTTTTAACAAATAAAAAACTGAAAAATTGGCCGTGCAAAATTATTCAGCCCCCTTAAGTTAATACTTTGTAGCGCCACCTTTTGCTGCGATTACAGCTGTAAGTCACTTGGGGTATGTCTCTATCAGTTTTGCACATCAAGAGACTGAAATTTTTGCCCATTCCGCCTTGCAAAACAGCTCGAGCTCAGTGAGGTTGGATAGAGAGCGTTTGTGAACAGCAGTTTTCAGTTCTTCCCACAGATTCTCGATTGGATTCAGGTCTGGACTTTGACTTGGCCATTCTAACACCTGGATATGTTTATTTGTGAACCATTCCAATGTAGATTTTGCTTTATGTTTTGGATCATTGTCTTGTTGGAAGACAAATCTCCGTCCCAGTCTCAGGTCTTTTGCAGACACCATCAGGTTTCCTTCCAGAATGGTCCTGTATTTGGCTCCATCCATCTTCCCATCAATTTTAACCATCTTCCCTGTCCCTGCTGAAGAAAAGCAGGCCCAAACCAGGATGCTGCCACCACCATGTTTGACAGTGGGGATGGTGTGTTCAGGGTGATGAGCTGTGTTGCTTTTACGCCAAACATAACATTTTGCATTGTTGCCAAAAAGTTCGATTTTGGTTTCATCTGACCAGAGCACCTTCTTCCACATGTTTGGTGTGTCTCCCAGGTGGCTTGTGGCAAACTTTAAACGACACTTTTTATGGATATCTTTAAGAAATGGCTTTCTTCTTGCCACTCTTCCATAAAGGCCAGATTTGTGCAGTATACGACTGATTGTTGTCCTATGGACAGAGTCTCCCACCTCAGCTGTAGATCTCTGCAGTTCATCCAGAGTGATCATGGGCCTCTTGGCTGCATCTCTGATCAGTCTTCTCCTTGTATGAGCTGAAAGTTTAGAGGGACGGCCAGGTCTTGGTAGATTTGCAGTGGTCTGATACTCCTTCCATTTCAATATTATCGCTTGCACAGTGCTCCTTGGGATGTTTAAAGCTTGGGAAATCTTTTTGTATCCAAATCCGGCTTTAAACTTCTCCACAACAGTATCTCGGACCTGCCTGGTGTGTTCCTTGTTCTTCATGATGCTCTCTGCGCTTTAAACAGACCTCTGAGACTATCACAGTGCAGGTGCATTTATACGGAGACTTGATTACACACAGGTGGATTCTATTTATCATCATTAGTCATTTAGGTCAACATTGGATCATTCAGAGATCCTCACTGAACTTCTGGAGAGAGTTTGCTGCACTGAAAGTAAAGGGGCTGAATAATTTTGCACGCCCAATTATTCAGTTTTTTATTTGTTAAAAAAGTTTGAAATATCCAATAAATTTCGTTCCACTTCATGATTGTGCCGAGGTGGTGCCACCAAATCTCGCACTGGTATCACCATCTGAGAGGCTCGGTGGCATGTTAGTCTGGAGCCCTGGAATTGTTAAACAAGAATCACAATTAATCGACAGTCAGTGTTGTTATCCAGCCTTATGCGAGCTGTAGACTTTCATTTGTATGACACCCATGAGAGCGGTATCAGGTATTCTTATCTACAGTACCTCTCTACAACAAACAAACAAAAACATATTTCTCAACATGTTGAACTGTTGCTTTAAAAGAAACAGACACATATTCATAAGAGTGTGCAAAGTCTTTGCTGTATATATTAAGCAAGGGTTAGCCCCCTTGGAGCTCCAGCCTGATTTTATTAACCCTTGTGCCTCTTTTTGTTTTCAGTCCCATTCCTCACTCCAGGCCCCCACCTTAACCTCATGTAAAGACAAAGAGACCAACGAAGACCAGTGGGCCACTGACGATATCCCAGAATTCCTCAACGCTATTCGCAGGGAGACGGATGCTGAAAGACTGGTGGCAGAGAAAGGCAACACAGTGGGAACTGTTGCTGTATCACTGGCCGCTCCACCTCCTCAGAACCTGTGGGCCAAATTACAGGAGGTTAGGCTGAAGAACCCTGTCAGTGGCCTCATGGAGTACGCTCAGTATCTTAGCCAGAGCTGTGAGTTCCTGCTCCTTGACCAGTCAGGACCCTCCCATGACCCAAGGTTGGTGGCATGACCTGCACTGTGTAACATTTGAATTGATACAGGAGGTAATACTAATCCATCTGTGGTCATTTTCTGTGTGTTCATTATATGACATTTAACCAGGGATGGCTGACCTTACTGAGTGGATTAGTTATTGACTGATTCATGTTAAATCCAGTGTCTTTGGTGTATTTGACTTTGTTATATCAGTCAAATTTATGAAATCACAACAGTGTAACGACTCAGTTTGAGTGCCACAGCAATCTCTCACTTACTTTTACCTTATATAAAAAATTATTAGTGCCAATGAAGATTTTAATATTTGGGGAAAAGACAGCTCTGATATCAGATTTTCTAACTTGTGTCGGCAGACGGCCCAGGTTGATGTGTCAGAAAAGAACAAGTGGAAACAATGCGTCTGTAAATATAAGAATTAGAAGTATATTCAAATACACAAGCCCGCCCTAGATAGACAGAACTTAGTTTTATCTGTTGTTATTTATGTTAAATGTGTCTTTTTTGTTTTTCCACACACTTGTTTGGTTTTCTCTCTAGAGTACCTGACTCTAGACATTCTCTGTGAGACATAAACCTGCCTTAATGAAATCATATTAGGCTGTTAATTAAAAATAAAAATTACATTTCTTGTAATGCAACACAGTAGTCTAGGAAAGCTGTGGCTGTTTAATTAATCATGTATTGACAGATCACTGTGTCTCATCTGCATATTCTGTCACCCTGTCAGATTCCGTATGCAGGTGGTGCTCAATGGGAGACTGTTTCCTGTCGCAGAAGCTTCCAGTAAGAAGGTTGCAAAAAAGGATGCTGCTGCAGCCGCCCTGCGCATTCTCATCAGAGAGATGCAAGGAGGGGTGAGCACAGGGGACGAGGGAAATACTGCCACTATCATCCAAGTAATGGATTCAGACACCAGTGTAAGCTGTTTGTACTGAAAATAACCACCTCCCTTATTTTGCATACATGTACCATATGTGTGTGTGTGTGTGTGTGTGTGTGTTGTATATGTAAACACCCCTTATCAGCTATTTAGAGTTAAATAACCAGTGACAGGTAAATAGTGACCCATGGGCCAAACACAGTCCTCCAACAGAAACATTTGCCCCTAAAAGAAATTTTCTTCTGACTGTGTGTGGATAAGAAACGAGTGCATTACATCCATAGTCTTGTAGTCTAACACATAACAGTCTTAAATGAACAGTATGTTTTCCCTCTTTTCCTGTCTACCAGGGGACAGCAGAAAATATGGGGGGAATGTTTGGTTCTGGTAGTATGGAAGGGATGGTGGAGGGAGCTTGCCAGCCCCTGTCCCGCTCTCTGCCTGGTGGGAAGAATCCGGTGTCTGTTCTGATGGAGTACAGCCAGCGCAGCGGGAACCCCATTGATTTCATCATCACTGGGCAGGCAGGCCCACCGCATGACCCACGGTACCGGTTCCTTCACCTCCTTCTGAATGTGTCTTTTGGGATATTGCTATCCCCAAGACTGCATGTTCTTTGATCAAATTCACCTGTGGTCTACATCTTTTTTCCTTTGGGAAGCAGTTCATTTGCTGTTTCTGTTCAGTCCGTCCTCACTACTGTAGTCACCTGACAAAGACAGTACCATCTTTGTTCATCCATTCTTTACCACTCCTCCTGTTTATAATCCATCCCTTCAGACCGCTGGCTGGTCAGAAGACGCAGTAAAAACCTGTGTTTTCCTCCAATCACTTTCTGAAAGGCTACATGCTTGTGCCTTGATCACTAGTACACCATAGGCTCTGTTGTCATTGAGAACATGGCACATCTGATGATTTATTTAAATGTGATAATGATTCTTGGACTTTAACTCAACAAAGTGTGGCATTATCTCCCATCTATGTTCAGGTTCATGTACAGGGTGAAGGTCGGCGAGAGCTTGTTTGCGGAGGCCTCAGCTCCAAGCAAGAAGGCCGCCCGGCAGCTGGCAGCAGAGGAGGCGGTAAAAGAATTAATGGCCGACGGGAGACTGCAGCTCAACAAGGTGAGTGAGAAGCAACAGAAAAGTGCAGTTGTTTATTTTGCATACCCCAAAAAATAGGTGGCATGACTTTATTAGAAATCAGAAACAACAGATTACTCAGACAGAAAGAAAATACTCTTATCACCTCTGTCACACTGTTCTGCTCCTTGTGCTCAATACTGTTCACATCTTTCTAACCCCCACCCCCACCCCAAATCTCTTTTTTTCCAGCCTCAGTTGCCCCTGGGCTCTTCCAGTGATAGTGATTGCACTGGCTCCGGGGCTGCATATCCCTCTTTACCCCCTCTGACTGCAGATGAGTTGCGAGCAGCACATGAGGCCGGGGTTGGTGACCTCATCAACTACCTGAACAGCAACGCAGTGTCAGGTCTCCTGGAGTACGCTAGAGCCCGGGGCTTTGCTGCTGAAATCCACCTGGTGAGCCAGTCTGGCCCACCACATGAGCCTAAGTATGTGTGAGCTGCATGAACGCGCGCACACACACACACACACACACCCACACACACACACATTTAACATGTATGCACTGGATAGAAACATAACCCCTGCTGACTGGGTTACCGTGTGTTTTGGAAAATGTGTCTTTTTTTGTACTGAGCAAAAGAATATAAGGCCTATTCGTCCCGAGTCTGTCTTGCAGCCCTTGATGCTGTGGAAAATGTTCAAATTGATATTTGTGTTTATGATCCATCCCTGGCTTCCATGTGATCCTTGGGTCTTAAAGTGATTGAGATAACCCCATCATATCATCCTGATTGCTTTCCTCTTTGTCACTCTTGCTCAGGTTCACCTACCAAGCTAAGCTGGGCGGACGGTGGTTCCCTGCGGTCTGTGCGTCCAATAAGAAGCAGGGAAAACAGGAAGCAGCAGATGCTGCTCTACGGGTTCTGATTGGAGAAGCTGAGAAAGCAGCTCATACTGGAGAGCTGATCCCAGCTGAGGTACTGCCTTTTTGGTGCTTTTGCATTTTCTGTCATGTAACCTGAATATGCAGCAGCATCAAGTCAGCCTTCTCTTGTCCAACTTGGGGGTAAGGCTGTATATACTGGTATGAGAGAAACCTTAATTATCGGTGCTGAAATATTGAGCTTCAGCAATATACTTGGGCAGCCTGTCTTAAAGATGTAGTCCACACAAGCAAATGAAACTTTCTTTGGAACTTTTTCAGACTTGTATCTGGCTTGCGCAGTCAGATAAGTTTCATATACACCAAATGTTAACTAATCCTTAATTCTGTCTGTTTTGTTTATCCTGTTCTGTACCACCCCCCCCCCCCCCCCCCCCCCCCCCCCCCCCCCCCTACTTTGCATGACCAGATAGCAATGTTGAGTCACCAGCGCTTCAACGCCCTGACGACACGTATCCAGCACAGCCTTCTGGGTCGCAAGATTCTGGCCACCATCGTCATGAGGAGAGGGGAGGGTTTGGGGACCGTTGTCAGCCTGGGAACTGGTACATGTACTACCTTTAGCATATAACCTGTGAAAGAAGGGAGGCAGTAAAAACTAGTGTGTAAGAAATTGTGGAGCAACAGAAGAAAATGTGTTGTCAATTAGTTTTTTCTGACATGCACTGTCAGAAAACTACCACAGAACTAGGTCACTGCAGAACCAAGAACTGTTGCATTGCTGTCTTCTTAGACATTGAGTGTCTTTTTTTGGGGGGGGGGTCAGGTAATCGCTGTGTCAAAGGGGAGGAGCTGAGCCTTAAAGGGGATACAGTAAATGACTGCCATGCTGAAATCATCTCCAGAAGAGGATTTATTCGGTAGAAGTAGATCTTACTTTTTTTGTCAGTGTTTTTCTGCTAGTTCTAAAAATACCTAACTCTTCTTCCAGACCCAGTCTATTGGACATTATTTATAAGCCTAACTAGTCTCCTTTCCCCTCAGGTTTCTGTATACTGAGCTGCTGAAGCACCACGATGGCACAGCTGACAGTATATTTGAGCCAGCGGAGCAAAACAAACTGCGGATCAAACCTGATATCACCTTTCACCTTTACATAAGGTTTTTTTGTTCCTCCTTGATGAGCTCGCCCACTCCCAATCCCAGACTCTTACCTTTCATTCCCACCCTGTTCATAGTCAGATACATCAGTGTTTCACATTTGGATTGATGTTGTTCTGCTTTGTTAAATTTCATATAATTTTGGTGTGTGTCATATCAGTAGCTTACGTTTCTTCCTTTTCTCTTATCCATAGCACCGCACCTTGTGGCGATGGGGCTCTGTTTGATAAGTCCTGCAGCGAGGAGGGGAATGAAGTCGAGGGCCACCAGCCTCTGTTTGAGAATGCTAAGCAGGGCAAGCTCCGTACCAAAGTTGAGAATGGTGAGAGATGAAACTCAAAGACATCTGTCTTTGTTTAATTTAGTTTATTTGTTTATTTGACAGGGACAATGCATATTCATGACATGTCTATAAATATGCCAAAGGCAATTTTTCCATCTGGAGTCCCTGAATACATACTATATATATAAAAAAAAATAAAAGTCCCAGTAATCTCTCTGGTAGGTTATAGTATAGAATCAATCAAGGTGCAATACAATAAAACAGTATTACACTATAAGATATTTAAATTCAGACACGTAATCTTTCACCACATACAGTTACATCAGAATCAGGTGCTGGACTAGATTTCTCTGTGAAAACACGGTGGTAGTGTTTCCCCATGGAGGCAAGACTGAAAAAGCCAGACTGAGATGTGTCTGTCGACAATTTGAATGCTGCTTCCTCTTTATTTTTGCCTTGCACCTAAAGAACTTCACAAATATTGTACCAGTCATCATCATCTGTGCATAGAAGAAAAGGATTCGTCATCCTGGTCTGTAAGCAAGAGCTGTGGCCTTTTTATACATGAGTTGTTGTTTGTGCCAGGTGAGGGCACCATCCCAGTGGAGTCAAGTGCCATTGTGCCCACCTGGGACGGGATACAGCATGGTGAAAGGCTGCGAACCATGAGCTGCAGCGATAAAATCCTGCGTTGGAACGTGCTGGGCCTGCAGGGGGCGTTGCTTACCCATTTCCTTCATCCCATCTACCTGAAGTCTGTCACACTTGGTAAAACAGGCTGTTGCATTGTTTTAGTTGTAGCCAGGTGGAGAACAAATTATGTGACACATATCTGAGTTTTATACTGCTTCTCATCTCAGCTTTCTGCTTTACAACATGTCTGTGCTGGTTTGATCTGTTAGGCTATCTGTACAGCCACGGTCACCTGACACGTGCCGTGTGTTGTCGGCTGGCCAGAGACGGTGAAGCGTTCGCCAAAAGTCTCCCTCTTCCCTTCATGCTGAACCACCCAGAGGTAAACACACACATCTTTGGCCATGTCACGTGGACATTTAATTAGGAATATTGAGGTCATTCTCACTTAATTCATCGGTTATGCTGCCAACACACTATTTGTATCTCACAATTGTTTCTTCATTACTCATCTTCTTTAGATTTGAGTAATCCATCAGTTAGCACGAAGCAGGTAGGCCACTAGGACATCACAGGGCAAAATGCCTGAGAAGTACAGTATCTGTCAATTTAGCCCAACATTTTGTTAGTTATCATTTACACATTGGTGAAACTACCATTCCTAATCGACACACAGAACGATACAAGCCATAACACTAGCACGAGTTACACAGCGAATTTTAATCAGCTAATGTTTGAATCAGCCTGATTGAACGAAATATGCACTCTCCCCCCTTTTCTGCCACACCACTTGGTTGACTGTAGGTGGGTAGGGTGACTGTGTACGACTCCACACGGCATACGGGCAAGACCAAGGAGTCCAGTGTAAACTGGAGCTTACCAGACCAGCACTGTGTAGAGGTGCTGGACGGGACCAAAGGCAAACTGGATGGGTATGTAGTATACAGTGTACTCAATCAAAATTCAGTTGCTCGTGTCACAACACATATGGTTTATTTACACTTTAGACTTTCTATACTCTGTTATTGTCTACTTATTATTTAAGGAATGTTTCGCTGCTGTTCAGTGTTTTTGTTTTTCTCTTGTGGCAACTTTGTTTCAAGTCAATTCTTTGCCTGAATGGAGATTTTAAATTAAAATTGATTTATTTTGTAGCTCATTATGCCTCTAAAATGTTTTCCAGAAGCGTGATTTCACATTTTTATGAGTTATTGATCATCGTGGCATGGATCAAATACCATACATTGTAATGAGACATCCCTGGAATTTGTTTCCAGAATTATTACTTGAGGATATCTCAGTTGTTTGGGCTAATACTATTTGCCCTGAATAGTCACGAACCTTATGATAAACAGCATGCAATGTGGCAAACTATGTACACCATGTTTACATACACACCACAAACTGAAAACCCCTTGGCAGCATTTTTATTTTAGATAACCTCAAATGCTCTGTTTTATTCAATAAATTATTTCTACTTAAATCGCCCACTAGCACTTTAGTGAGCAGTAGGTAGCAAAGCAGACTACGTGGGGAAACACTGCACCGGTAGAAAAGCTATGTTGTTTTCCATGACTGTCACACTTTTTATGAACACTCAGTATCTTCCCTGTAGGAACAAACTGGGCATATCCCGCGTGTCCAAGTCCAACCTGTTCTCTCTGTTCCGCACTCTGTGCCAGCGATGTGGCCGCATCGACCTCCTTTCCCTGCCCTCTTATGCCCAGGCCAAGATGTCAGCCATGTCCTTCCAGCTAGCAAAGCAGCAATTTTTTCAGGCTCTCAGTGCCCATGGTTATGGTGCTTGGATCGGCAAACCGCTGGAAGAGAAGAACTTTGAGGCCAGGGATGAAAGGGAGAAAAATGGAGCAGATGTCCTTTTGGGATATGGCAGTAGTCGAAACAGAGGACCAATGGAGTACAAGCAAGATGAAGCATAGAACTGTGCGCAGTGAATTGTTAAATGGGTAATATTAACTTCTTTTTTTTTTTTGGGTGGGTGTAGCCCATGCCCAGAACTGTGTCTCTGATGGAACACATTTAAAGGCTACATTGGAAGAGCGATTGAAAGGGACAGGACGATGGCAAGGGCAGAGCCTGGAGGATGAGTGGGGTCACAGCACACAGGCAGGGCAATGGGGAGAGTCTGGGGCTGGACAACGTAATCAGTACGTCTGTAAACCACCTCGGCAGACACTGCTACAATGCCGAGTTGTGTTAGATTGTGAGACAGTTGCTGCGTTTGTCAGCATTCTTTATACTCAGTTCAGAGTGTAGTTTCTTTTTCCTTGTAATTGTAAAGCTTGGCACATGTTGCCATTATTTTTCCACTGTTCAATTTGATATGTAAAGTCATTTTTGGCAGGTTCTATGACCATTGCAATTGCATTGTGCACCTTGATTGACTTCTTTAAACCACTGGCTGCTTTGTCTGTTTTTGCCAGGAGAGCTGAGGTAGCTAACAAATGCTGCTAGTTAGAATTCAGCCTAACACAGCCCTCCACTGTAGCAGTGTTTGTAATTGTGATTAATTTCATTTAGAGTCCTCTGTCGTGGAGTGCATATTTTTTCAGCTCCTTTGTTTTACATGTACTTCACAGAAATGCAAGCAACCGCTTTCAGGACAACAAATAGAAATATTGGGATGCTGTCAGAAGCATTCTTCATTTTTCATTTGTTTAAAATGCACTCACCTTAGTTAGATTTCATGACTTAGTCCTTGCTCTGGCAGTACTGTCCCAGCCGACAGTGTACTGGAGAAGTTTTTAATGTAAATAAGAGGAGCATCAATGTCATCTTTCACTGTCCAATGTTTGAGTTTTCAGCTCCCGTACATACTCTGAAGTGTTCAATCAGACCACTTTAGGATTTAAACCAGCTCTAAAATGTCATCTGGCTGTAACGCCCTTAGCTGTCCACCCATCCACACTGTTGTACCATGGTTTCCATTATTATTACAGCATTGACTGGTGCAGCCTTATAATCAGCCCCAATAGTTTCTCTGTGCTTTGTTGTTTTTATATTGAAGTAGAGCTCCTGTCTTATTATTCGTGTGTGTGTGTGTATTTTTTCCTTCCCTTCTTTCAGTGAAGGCATCATTAGCTGGTCATGCTAGCAAAGTTCTGGTCCCTGCTGCATATTATTTTTACATCTCAATACTAAAAAGCTTTCAGGTTCTCACTCATGGCCACTTTATCAGCTAGGTGAGGACAGTTTTATTGTTTATTCACTTCGTAGTCTCGATTCGGTTACATGCAAATTGTCGATGCAATATATACATCAGGTGTGTACAGATACATGAATACACAGATATGTACACTGAGGTCCAAAAGCCTGAGTCCAGTTCCAGAAACTTATTTGTCAAATACTAACACAAATTATGATGATTACTATTATTTTTGTAGAACAGCATGTCACGATCGTTCAGATGGTTTTGTTTAACCCTGATACATATATACAAAACCATGGTTCTGCTTATAAATATGTCTCTTCAAACTGTTGTATGCCTGAAGTAATGATAAGCATCTGTAGAACAGAGCCATCCTCTCTCTGGTCAGTCTAATTCTAGCCCTGAAGTTCAAGCTGTAATTAAGGACTTAACGTCTTGCAAGTGGAAAGTGTTTTCTCAGCAGCAGTCTATAATGCACATATTAGGTACACCAAGCTAACAATACATGTAGTCTAATGCAACAATTCTTCAGTTCTTTATGAAAGTGATGAGGTCAGTTTGTGCTTATGATTCAATTGTAAAAGCCGTTGTTTGGGCTGCAGGTGGGCTGTACTGCATTAAACTGGGGTTTCTGTTATTTAGTCTTCAAGCCTCAGTGATGTAAATGAAGTGGACTAAATGATAGAAACACCTAAATATAATGCAGTGCAGTTAAAAAGCACCACAAGCTACGGCTTTCAAAATGTTCCCACAGCTGAAATAACACCTCTCAAACAGTTTGAACAAAAACTGAATATGTTCACCTTTGTGAACATAAGGAGGATTTATTGAGGGGCTGTTGGATTGGACAGCATTAGTTTTAGCTAGGTGTACATGATGGTTTGCTAACTCAGTGTATATCCATCCATCCATTATGTATTCCACTTATTCCTGAATAGGGTCGCAGGGGGCTGGAGCCAACTGAGTGTATTAGATATCATGTAGCAAAACAAATGGGATTTAGCACATATTTTGGGTTTTTTTATTTTATTTATTTTTTTGCTCCATCTGTTTTGAATATGAAGCTTAGGTTTTATCAAATATACAGTTTTTGGTGTTGGACTCAGACTTGTACCCCATTGTATGCAAACATTGATGTTTAAGAATAATTCTGTCCTATATATACTGTACGCGTGTGTGTGTGTATGTATATGTTTAGGTTTATTTTGTATAGCTTTTAAAGTCATCTACAGTTTCTAATTCACTTTACCATTTTGTTTTTTACCAGTGACATCTGACAGCAACAAAATAAAATAGGTAGCACACAGAAATTTCACTGGTGTTTGTGGTACTTTCTTCTGTTGTTATACTGTCCTTTGTGTTTATCACCTGCCTCATTCCCCAGACAAGTACTGTACTTGCATCACCTGAGGGTGATGTAACCGACTCTGAAGTTATTGTCTCATGGCTGCTGTTGAGTTGTTTTTAAAAGGACCAACAATAGGCGGCAACTCTTCTTTCTTCATTACAAAGCTTTGTCTGTCACTTAAATAGAAACAGTGAATAGAAAGCGATTTTCCTGCCAGAAGGTTTGAGTAGAAAATGCTTATTTTTACAGTAGCGACTCCTCCAGGTGGCGCTGAGACTCGGCCTGTCTCAAAATAGCTGCAGAGCTTATTGCAGTGCTATAAAGGATCAGTAGATGGAAACATATTCACGCCTTAGGGCTGGGGGACAGTATTGATCTGGAGAAAGGATACATGAATTCATGTGCAGGTGACCTGGTATTCACAGTGAATGTAAAATGGATTTTATCAACAAGCCAACACAATCCAACATGTGAACCCTCTACATGCTACTACAGATATTGTCCTCACTACTCACAGTGGTACGATTATACTGTATGTCTGCGTAAGACTGAAGACGATTAGGATCAATATAGAACGGCATATCGTGGAAGTCAAAATGTGACTGTTCTTGGTGTATTCTGTGAAAGATAATGCGCTGTAAAACCAACTTGTAGTCATACTCCACAGTCTCTTAATGTGATGCAGTAACACTGAACATTTGACCATGCCATTTAGATCCGTTGCTTGGTGTGTGGCCTCGCTGGGAACAACAAGTGATATTGGGTGTCTAATTCTGAATCAGCTCAGTGTAACATTACAGCTGGTCTTGTCTCCAGTTCAGCAGCATTTGTTTCTGCCAAGGGACAGGAATATGGTGGCAGTATTGCCAACCAATTGTGTAGTGCCTCATAAATAGTTTTATTGTTAATTCCCCCTCAGGCAGTCTGTTTCATTACAGGATGGCTCAGAACAAAGAAATCACAACAAAAATAAATGACATTTTGAAGACAGAGTAGTTAAAAGAATTCACATCACACCCCTACAATACATATTTTAACATAACCATGTATCTCCTAACTATGTATATTACTATAGCCTCTCAAATAAGCAGCAGTGACAAAAACATGCATACACATGTACACTAGATGCATTCATGTGCTTAGGTCCAGTTTCAGTCACGCTCTCGCCCCATCGAGTTGGATTCATATTGTCTCACCAGTCAAGTGTTTGGTTGGTGGGAGGGCAGGCCTAATGATAGAGGGAGAGGAATAAAGCACGATGGAGAGAAGGATGGATGATGGGAACAAGGCTACATGGAGTGAAATATTAGCAGAGACCAAAGGGCTTAAACGAGTCAATCGATGCTCTGCAATGGAAATAAATGAGAAAGGGTAAGGAGGGAATACATGTAGGCTGAGCGTGGAGAGAAATGGCTTAAAAACTAAGCCAAAAAACACAGGATCATTAGAACCTGTGAAGTCAAGTGCAAATTTATAATGGTCATCAAGGGTGTGACAGGAGGGATGCGCCAGAATGGAGAAAGGAACCAAGAGAAGCGCTGTGGTTTCTGGGGGTAATGGATGGTATTTTCAGTATGATGCCAATAATGTACTGCGGTACTGGCCATAGTATAAAAATTACGCTTTTTATTGCCATTTTACTGGCTGTGGTACAAAACAACAGACATGGTAATAATACAGAATGTGCTACTAAAGCTGACAGTGCTACTTCCATAGTATAAACTCATAAACCCTGGTACAACCATCACTGCGCTAATGTAGAGTGCAATTGTGCAGTAGTAGATAAACATTATACCTCCTTAGCATTTAGCTCAAAGCACCACTGTGCCTAAACACCGCCTCACAAGGCCTCCAGGATGGCTGTCGACTCTTAACCTTGTTAGGAGTGACCTGTTTAACTTTTCACACACTGAGGATAAATAATTGATTCTGTCCAATCACTGCAGCAGCAGAAACACACAAAAATACCCTAAAGCTTAAGGCTTGAGCCACATTACAAAACATTCTACAGTAGAAGAACTGCCATTCCAATATTTTGGAAATTGATGGTGATGACCCTCAATGTTAAAGTGACAGGAACAGTGTGCATGAGCAGAAATCCAACAATTTCTAACAAACACAGAGTCTATAAAAAGCTGTGCCACTGTGCTTTATGTGTGTGTGTGTGTGTGTGTGTGTGTGCCTGCATGTGTGTCAGACCTTTCATTAAAAGGGCACAGTTGTTTGCCTGTGAGATGTTCCGCACTGCTTGCTCTGCACTTAAATGGGAGGCCTGATGTGCACGTGCACACACACACACCTCACACCATCTCCTCCTCTGTATCGTTTACCCCCTGTTGTCTCCCGTTCTTTATATTTGATTAGTTTCTCTCAGGCAGTCAGATCAGAGTGTTGTTTGGTGTGCTGAGATCCTTCTGCATACAGTTGGTTTCAGGCTGTGGGTTAGCCCACGCAACCTCCAGTCCCCTAATGCAATCGGAACCATTAGGATACAATGGAGGGCAACGATTAGAGCGTGTCTGATACAGTGGGGCCAGTCCAGTGGTCTATTAAAAAGAGAAATGCAGCTGTGCAATGCACTTACTCATCACTTGTCTGACATTTATCATAAATATTGTCAACAACAGGTGCCTGTGTTGGAGAGTGGGGGCATGGTATACAGAACATTAGTCAGCACAATGCACACTGTACTAGAGTACAATTTTAAGGAACTTTATACTTCCACTTTCACATTTCAGGGTAAACTCAGACAGCTGCATTTACTGTGCAGATTGAGACATTACAGACAAAACATGATCCGATTATAAAATATTATGCACTGTTGTACATTAAACTGCCTGGTGGAATGTACAGTAAAGGTTTGCTCTGTTTCCACTAGCTACAACATTAAAATTTAGACAATTCATGCACACACACTTACAAACATCAATTCTGCATAAACCTTACTGTCATTTTGACAATTTGAATCTCCAGTTCATTTCTTTTAACCTCTAAAAACTAGTATGACAACAGCTGCACACACGTGCTGACACACTTACTGTATTTAACTGCCTCTTCAACCAAGAGTGACACATAGGATATGATATAGCATTTCTTTTTTCAAAAGGCTGGAGACCTTGACTCCCTGCTGTCTAAGCATGGACTAAATTTGAGTCTGCCCCTCAGAACTATAAAGACCTATGAGGTCACAGATCAGGCCACAGATTTGTCGCATCACCTTACTTGTCTGTTATGTTTGACTTATGGTGGCTAATGTTAGCAACCTTTAGATAGATTCTGCTGTGTAGCCAACTACTGAATCAGTTTGCTCACTTCTGCTGACTCTACTTGTGGTACTGTTATACTAAATTTACCATTGTACTGTAACAGTCACCACTGCTCAGCAAAAGTCACCTCATCTTGGTTTACCGGAACAATATGCGACATTTAGGGAGATATGATTGAGTGTGTTTATATCCTTGTTGGGACCGTTATGCAACGATCAATACCACTCACGTCTGGTTGGTAACAGTCAGCAGCGGGTTAACCAGTGGTGAAAGAAGTACTCAAATTCTTTACTTAAGTAAAAGTAACAATATCACAGTGTAAAAAAACTTTGTTACAATAAAAGTCCTGCATTTGAAATATTACATAAGTAGAAGTGCAATAGCATTGGTATCAACATATACATAAGTACTGGTGGGTATTTTGTGAATTTCCCACCAGGGATCAATAAAGTCAGATAATTATATTGTATGTTGTACAGTTAATTGGGTTCTAAAAGGCAACTAGTAACTAAAGCTAGCAAATAAATGTAGTGGAATAAAAAGTACAATATTTGCTTCAAAAACTCAGTGTATGAAGTAGCAGAACATGAAACTGTTCAACAAAATTACAGATATGTCAAAAATGTATTTAAATACATTACTTTAGTAAATGTACTTAGTTACTTTCGTAGCACGAAGACTGGAAACAGTAAGAAACAGCCTCACTCTGTCTGAAAACAGGTGACTAAATACACCTAGCAACACGTCTAAAGATCATCAGTTGATCTGTACAACAAAGGAGGGGTAAAAATAACACTGTGGTTTTGTGTAGCCTTATACATATACAGGTGTCATCTCCCTGGCTGTTCAGGTGCACGTCTGGTGGAGACTGTTTTGTTTTTTTCTATTTCTTCTCATGCTGTGGTAATTACCAATTACCCAGGTTACCGAGTTTTTTAAAGCCACCTGTCATTCCACTCAGTTGCTGGACTGTCTTCAGACCACCAGGACGCTTTGCTGCCTCACATTCTGAATACCTCCGATCATGTTGGGATCTCTGATCCTGCTGCTCTGGCCTAGTTTATCCAAGTGACTCAGGAGACTGTTACCAGTATGTGCGGTGTTATTTTTTTGTTCTTAACTTAAGACTGATTTGTTCAGTAGGTCTTCTGATTTTTTCCCTCTCGTGGAGGTGCCCTATGTTTTTCTTTTCCTGGTTTTTGCCAAGTTCAGCTGCCTGCCTGCCAAGTATTTTTGTTGTCTGTTCACTTTGCTCTCCACCATTAAAACTGATAATTTACCTGGTGTCCTGTCTGGTGTTTGCTATTGAGCCCAAGCCCTACCCAGCTGCTGACAGCAGGACTACTTCTTGATATGGTACGGTAGGTGCTTTTTTCAAAGCAATACACACTGTGTCACGTAGAAGTCTTTGTTCAGTATAAGTTCCTATAGTCAAGCTTTTCTGTTGCTTTAAACTTAGAAGGGAGATGAGAAAAGAGAGAGATCATTATGAGCAAGAGCTCATCTGTAGACTAGAGCACTGGCAAAGCACCTGATTTTCACTGTATTATTCCTCTTTGTATTCTATTATTCAGTTTGTCATTCGCATATTTCTCTCACTACACATGTGAGATATGCTGCAGGGCAGGACTGGGGACTAACATTTTCATTCAAAAGAGCCAATCATTCTTCCACTTTGTCACTCCCCTCTGCTTTCATTGCTCTCCATCATTTTCTGCTATCCCCTGAACTATCTCAACACTATTAAGACTTGTGAAAGAAAAACAGTGTGGCCTGCCACATCCTCGGTCAGCCCTATTGTCACCCTGGTCCTCTGGCACCTCCCCCCCCCCCGATTTATCCTGCTTCATGTATTGTGTTTGGCAAATCTCTGTTTCTGTTTTGCTCTCTTTCCTGTGTTTTACTGACATAGCAGCTGTTAACAACTGCTGCCTGAATATTAAAGGTTTAGCCTAGACCATTGTTCTTCTACAGAGGTTAGATGATGTTTGGTGGTCTTCTGATCCCAGGTCTGCTAGTGTTGAGCTCACAGAGAGCATTAAGTGTCTGCCGCATTAATGCTAACAAGTTTAATGTTAATGTTGAATGTCTAATGTTCTACATTTTCAATAAGATTAGAAACTGATTTGTCCACTTGTGTAATCTTGGTGGGTTCACTTTGATCAAAGGACATTGTAGCACGTTTACTGGCCCATGTACTGTCTGATCTAATAAGGCTATGCAGTCCTATTGGCCAAGTCCTAATGTGATATTGAAGACAATAAGCAAAGGATATAATTTAAACAGTGTCTAAATGTCCAGTGACTTGTCTGTGTATATAATATAATATAATATAATATAATATAATATAACTGTGATGGTGCAGACCTGACCTTTGGCCACTCCTGGGCCTTTATGAAGAATTTATTTCTTGCTGAAGCAGCTACTGTCCATCACTGACTCATCACAAATCCTCCTAGGGCAGAAACAACACATTTACCACATGTAGAGCATGTGTAGATATACCACAAAAAGAAACACAAAAATGAAAATGTAAATAAATATGTTATTGACAGCAGATTACAAAATAATGTAGCCTTAGACCGCTGTCTGTCCTCCTTCCACGTTAGCTAAATGTGTGAGGGATGCACTGGCATATGGCTGGTGATGTACAAATGGTTGGAATCACCCTCCACACCATATGATTTATTTTGTTAATGTCTGTCAGGCTGCATAATCATGGGATTGCCCGTCCAGTGATAACTAATCTGTTTGCACACAATGTCATGTTTGCAGTCATCCGATCAAAGGTGCACATGATGCACAAAGCAAATTATTAGGCCAGGTGGAATAGTCTAATTATGCAGGATTCTGCTAGGAATCAAATGGGGGAATGCCCAAGGTACACCGCTGCTATCTCCTGTAAATTATCCATCATAAATTGTCTTTGGTGACGCCCACAAGACATTAATATTTCATTTGATGTTCAGTTCAGCTCACTAGGTCTACAAGTTTATTTATCCCTTTAAGGTCAATATTCAGCATCTCGACACCGAGATCAATATGCACACACACACATACACCTCACGGGAGACACTTGGGGGGGAAACAAAAATAGGCTAGGGGGCTTTCTGAAGTGTGTTGATCACAAATTAGAAACCTGTGCTGGTCTTTTCCATGTAATGATGAAGGTGCACAGAGATGCACCACCTCATCACCCCCACCTCTCTGCTTGTTTCCACACACACTCCTACTCGCCATATGTTGCAGTATTTTATATATTTATTTTTTGTCCATCATAGTTTTTGTAATAGCGAGACATTTTGGTTTTTAAAAATGTAATCATGCCTGTTTTACAAATGTGAAAATGCCTTTGTTTTTGACATGGAGCTGACTGTTCCAGCGTCCAAATGGCCATATGGACTTGATTGAGGCAGCAGCTAAAAATGCCAAATTGATCACTTGTTTTCTGAGGCTACTGTGAAAACTGTGACCCCCAAAATAATCCGGGTGCAAGACAGTTGACATTTGGAAGCTACATCTTACAAACCCTGCCACCTGTTTTGCATTTCTGATTCCGTCCAATGAGACTGAACGGCAGGACTGGAGGCGGAGAAAGGAAGGAGAGAAGTTGGAGGAGAGAAGTTGGGGGAGAGAGTGAGAGACGGATCCGAGGAGACAGAGGGCTGTGGATTGAGTGGAAGTCGGTGGAGTCACATTTTAAATCACAGACTTCACTGCTCATCTCAGGACTGTTACTTGACGTCCAGCTTTGCGTTTTCCCTCCTCCTCCTGTTTTGCCGGTTTGTGATGCTGCACATTTTTGACGTACAGCCACAGGTTGACCGGTTTCATCCAGCCATGATGGATTATTCCTCTTCATCTCGTATCGATTGTCAGTGACGGGATCAGAAATGGGCATCAGAGATAGACCACTGATGACAGGAACAAACTGATCTTACCAGGTGAGCGGAGACGGAGGCACACATCTGCGGGAAGCGACGCACAATTTCGAGGCACAAGCGAGGACCTGTGGAGGATATACATGAACGGAGACGAAGCAAAAAGATGATGGGATGGCCGTGACAACATGAAAAAGAAAAAGTCTGGTTGTATATTTTCATCCAGCCAGTGATTCAACACATCTAACCTGGAGGACAGGGACTGAGAGAGAAGAGGTAGGAGGTAGGTAGAGAAGCAGACAGGGAGGAGGGGGCCGTGAAGGTGTTTGGTTATATCATACTGAAAGTAGGTTATTGTTTTGGATCAATCAAATGCAGCCAACTTGTGGTTAACTGAAGCAGTCTGTGATTCAGGGTACTTCCCAAATTGACTGATGTGGAATTATTATTTGTGAGTCTCTGAGCCTGGTCTCATTTCCATGGTGTATAGCGAGGGGGTTTGCACCATTCTCCAGGCTAACATCAATGTAACGCAGATGACATTTTATGGCATAAATTGCTGGAAGCATTGACAGAAGGAGAGGACACTGGGAAACGGAGAGGGGGAGAGTGCTGAGAGAGGCAGACTGGGCAGCTGACTCAAAGACTAGCATATCCCCCAGTTCTGACCACTTTTCTTCACTCTGCTGCTCCTCTTTGTAACACATCTTCAGCTTTTAGTGTTCAGTCTTTCAGTTGTTGTAACCAACCGTTATCCATCACAATGCTCCCCCATCTCTGTCTGCCCTGTTTCCATTACTGTCATGATAAACACTCTCTATTCTGTATAATTTTTCTTTTGTGCCTCTTTTTACAGTTATTCTCTTCTTTGTGTTTGTCTGCAGACAGGTGCGTGGCCACTCTCATGACCATGGAGCCTCCCCCCTCTCTCAGCTTGGCTTTGCTAGGAGGGAGTGAGGATGAGGACCAACGCTTCCTCTTTCCCCTGGGCATTATATCCCATCCGTCCACCACTGGCAACCAGCCAGGATCAAACCACTCCAACCACATGGGAGGATCAAGCCTGGACCGTCTAAATGGCAGCACCCCATCCCCTGCCACGCCCAATTTGCCTCCTGCATCGCTCCCCAAGTTGCCCCTGTCCTCCTCTGGAACCCAGCCTCTGCCCCCACCCATCCCCAACGCCCTGCATCCAACAAGCACCCCACTCTCCTCCTGCCTGGGCTCGCTACACAGCCTGAACGGGGACAACTCCCCGGTATACAACACCCTCTTTTACTCCTCCCATTCACCTTCTGTGGAGCGGGAGAGGGACAGAGAACGTGAGAGAGACAGGGAGAGAGATAGGGGCTGCAAACACAGACAGGCCAGCCCTCTGGTTCACCGTAGGGACAGTAACCCCTTCACAGAGATCGCCATGAGCTCCTGTAAGTACACAGGTGGGGTCATGAAGCCCCTGAGCCGCCTCAGCGCCTCACGCAGAAACCTTATAGAATCAGACAGCAGCAGTGAAACTAAAGAGGCCAGCGTTTCAGCTGTTGCTGGGGCAACGGGTGCTGGGGGGCATGAGCGACAGCGGGAAGCCCCTCCTACCTCCTCGGTGGCCCAGTTTTCTACCAATCAACCCCCAATCCAGAGCCCACCAGAGATTGTGATTTCATCCAAAGAAGACTCACCTTACCCCAGAGCAGGGTATGACATCACTGACTCCACATCCAACCAGATGTCGATCTATCACCAGAACCACACACTGGTGGAGAGCAGGCGGGCACAGCCAGGCAGGGGGAGCAGGCAGGGAGGGGTTGGGGTGGTGGGCTCCGGCACCAGGGGCAGCACCTCCAAGGCCCCCAAACGGAAGAACCAAAATATTGGTTATAAACTCGGTCATCGCAGGGCGTTGTTCGAGAAGAGGAAGAGGCTGAGTGACTATGCCCTCATCTTTGGAATGTTTGGCATCGTCGTCATGGTGATTGAGACAGAGTTGTCGTGGGGCGTGTACACAAAGGTGAGGGGACGGACCAGCAGTTCTTAAAGGGGAACTCCACAGATTTTACACATGACAATCAGTTTACTAGCCATGGCTAGTACCACAGAAAATTGTGTTATGTCTTCTATGGCTCTGGAGACAGAAACTAACCTTTATGATGTCATAATGATGTCATCAGGGTTATCTTGGCATGGGCTTGGATATTACCAATTTATATAAGAAGGCTGAAAGTGTGGCCTTTGAAAGACATGGGCATTTACCAGGCCTGGAGTGTTTAGAGAAAGACGTTGTCAAGATGGATTATGGGAAATCATCAATGTTTTTGGTGTTTGAGCCACACTAGGAACTTAAAATCAGGATATCATGGCTTCTGCTGCTCCAATTTTAACCACTTATCTTTAATTTGCCTCTCACAAATCCTCCAACTTTATGAATATGCAAAAATAGATTGGTGGAGTTCCCCTTTAATATAGCATCACATCTAACTGCCCAAAAAGTCTACAAATGGCCACACCAGACTGTCACACATATAGCTTTGTGCACTGCTGCATTCCTGAAATCTCAGGCTAATTTGGGCAGGTTTTTTGGTCATTTTTGCCTTTATTTTGATAGTAGCAAGTAATGACTGGCAGGAAGTGTGAGAAAGAAGATGGTCACCAGCCAGATGAAGTCAGGAATGTTACAGTCAGTACAGAAAGTATTCAGACCCTTACAAGTTTTCCACATATTTTTATGTTTCAGACTCATCTTATAATGGATTCAGTTCATATTTTTCCTCATCAATCTACACAATACTCCACAATGATAAAGTGAAAACAGGCTTTTTGAGTGTTCTGACAATTTATTAAAAGCAAAACACTGAAATATCCCATTTACATAAGTATTCAGACCCTTTGTTATGACACTTGTAATTGAGCTCTGGTGCGTCCTGCTCCTATCAGTGGTCATTGAGATGCTTCTACAGCTTGATTAGTGTCCACATGTACCTAATTCAATGCAATGAATATAATTAGGAAAGACACAGACCTGTCTATATAAGGTCTCACAGTTGATGGTGTATGTCAGAGTGAAAACAAAGCCACGATGTCGAGAGAATGGTCGGCAGACTTACAAGAAAGAAGGAAGTCAATGCACTCGGCCAAGAAAGTTCCACACATACCCCCCTGTGAAACTACCACTTGACATTAATTTGTGCACTTCAGAGGTTAGAAGTATAAGGAGTAATTCTGAATGCAAACCTTCTCCAGAGTGCTCAGGATCTCAGTCTGGGGCGAAAGTTAACATTTCAACAGGACAACGGCCTGAAGCAAACCACCAAGGAAACACAGGAGTGGCTTCGGGAAAAGTCATGGAAGCCAGGGGGGTCCAGACCTGAACCCCTGGAGAGACCTGAAAATGAATGTGCACCCATGCTCCCCATCCAACCTGGCTGACCTTGAACGATTCTGCCAAGAAGAATAAAAGAAAATTCCAAAAGAAAGGTGCCAAGCTTGCAGCTTCAATCTGAAGAAGACTTGAGGCTGTCGTTGCTGCCAAAGTACTAAATGAATGGCCTGAATACTCGTCTTTTACTTATAATAAGTTTACAAAACACTTCAAAACCTGTTTTCACTTTATCATTGTGTAGTATTATGTGTAGATTGATGAGAAAAAATGAATAGAATCCATTTTAAGATGAGTCTGATACGTAACAAATTACAGAAAACTTGAAATGCATCAACCCCTGGTTCACATGGTTGGAAAAACAAATCAGTCTAGTTTCACCAGTTAAGCACCAAATTGATGAGCGGTACACCCCACTCAGTCAGACCAGCACCATGTCATGTTGTTGGAGGGTTGCTACTATAGTGACCAAGCTTGACAGTTGCTGCTTCTGGGTGATGTAATGCAATGATGCAGAGAACATGGGGGGCAGATTATCAGTGGGAGGCCAGGATCTCATTTGTCTGTGTAATGGGGAGTGTAATAAGTTGAATGGGCCTCTGGCTGCTTTTGTCTGTTTATTTTGTGTGTGTATGTGTGCCACAGTGTCCTAGTGAGCCTTGGGGCATGTTGTGTTCACCTTTCTGACGCAGAGATACTCCAGTCCTCGTACCATCCTTACTTTCGGTCTGACGTATCACAGAGGGGTGGCTTTTGGCTACTAAGATGGAAATATTATTTCCACTTATGCAGCTTGTTATGTATGGATCAGTGATCATGTCAAGGAGGAAGTGACTGCACAGATTTACAGGTAGCCTATTAGAATAGGCCGGCGTGGTGTGTGGCTCATCTCTGTCTCCCTCTTCTCTGTTTCTCTTGCTTTCTGGTTGTAGACCGTGGTCTCCAGTTTACACTTGGTTTCTCTCTGCTGTTGTCATTGCTAGAAAAATCTGCCTGTTTTCTTCTGCTGGCTGTGTCTTTTTGCTTCTTTCTCCCTTTGCCTGTGTATCCCACTCATTATATTATAAAAATCAGCGCTTCAGAAGCAGTCTTTTTATTAATGGAAATCAATGGTTTTAATTTCTCTCTCAATCCCTCCGTTTCTCTTTTCTCCCTTTCCGTTGGCCTGTTCTCCCTGAAGGAGACGGGCAATGCACCTTATGCTCGCTTTCTCTCCTTTCTATTAACTCTGCCTGCTTTCTTTTTCTTTCTTCCTTTCATTTCCCCCCTCTCTTTCTCTCCCTCTCCCTCTCCCACGTCTCTGCTCTCTCCAAGCTTTCCTCCTGCTCCGTTTGTTGCTCCAGTCCACGCTGCTCAGTGAGCAGAGGACGACTGTAAAAGGAGAGAAAAAAGGAAAGGCGATAATGAAAAGCTTGATTTAGGTTTTTAAGCTACAACAGCTATAGTCCTCTAATGGACAGCTGTGATTTTGAGCTGGATGGCCACTGTGTTTCCCAGCGCTCTCACACTTTTGATTAATCTATGTTCATTAGGATAATTATGAAGTAGAAGTCAGGGTTAAGGAAGAATACTGTGTAAAACATCTTTGGACCTCATAGTCTCTTTTCAGGTTTGTACATTTCTGAAGGATCCAGAGAGTTAGTATGCAGCAGCAAAGCCTGATTAAAAATTCATTTTTAAACGCCAGGTGCCAAGCAATTTATTTTATTTATGGTTGCGGATTTGGTCGGACTCCAACAGATACTGGACTTCCATCAGACAGATCGAGCCCTCACTTAGATAATTGAGGTGGAAAGTAGCCTGCTGGTTGTTGTGAAAAATGGGTAGAGATCATGAAAATGAATTAGAGACCGGAAAAGAAGATAAATGGGGGGAAGGCAGAGAAAGAAGTGGAGAGGTTCATGCAGCGCTCTAGACCTGGGCGGAAGCCTTGAAAGATTTCTTTTATTGATTATTGATCATCTCTCACCCACACATGTACTGTTCATCATGGCACACACATGCTGTGCAATTGTACACTGAAAATGGATGCTGCCTTTCAGAGGTGTTACATTGTGTGTGTATTGACAGCCATTCTTTAGTGGCAGCATGAGAGCTCAAGAGAAAATGTGACGGGTACAAATATAATGCAGTATGATATTCTGTTAACAGCTTCATAAGATTTCTGTGTCTCTGACAACAGTTGTAAACTTGGAGTCAGTGTATAATGCTGGTGTGGGTATGTCTACCAAATGCTCCTGCACTTGTTTCAGCAGGTCCAGCTGTTCTGTGTTGCTCCCAAAAATAGAGATGAAGAATAAGAATGGAACTTAACTGAGTGGGTTGGATTGTGTGTGTGTGTGTACAGTGTGTGTGTGTGTGTGTACAGTGTGTGTGTATGTGGTCTTGTTTGTATATACTTATTGGATTGGATCACTGGGCGCACACTGTGACTGGAAGTCACTTGTGGGGACCAGAGGCTGAGCCCATGACTAATTCATCAAATGTTATGAAAATGGCAGGGTGTGAGATTAGAGGAAGTGTCGCCTTTGGTTAAGGGTAGGGTAAAGTTTAAGGTTAGGCAATTAGCGGTTCTGGTTGAGGTTCGTGTAAGTTTGGTTCTGGAAATGAATGTAAGCCTATGCACGGACCATGTAAGTGAGGACAGCACAGGTGTGTGTGTGTGTGTGTGTGTGTTATCAAGGATAAATAGAGAGAGGTTAACATGAGAGGACATGGTATTTGTGACTGTGGACCTACTGAGTAAGCACATGCATATTGATGTGAGGTTCAAACCCCATCAGCACACATACTGTAGCCACGGCTGAGATTTTCCATTCCTTTTGTTATAGCATCTTTCTTCAGTACAACTAAGTCAAATTCAAGCAGCGGTGGAAGAAGTACACAGGTCCCTTACTTAAGTAGAAGTAGCAATACCACATTGTAAAAGTACTTTGTAACAAGTAAAAGTCCTGCATTCAAAATGTTACTTAACTAAAACTGCTACATTTTAGTATCAAAACATACTTAATGTACTAAAAGTAAAAGTACTCATTTTACAGAATGGTACATTTAACATGAATGTATATCATATTATTGGATTAGAATTACTGATGCATTATTGTGTACATCACATTAATGTTGCAGCTGGTAATGGTAGAGCTAATGTTAACTAGCTTATATACTTGTAATTTGAAGTACTTTACATAAGGCTTGGTAGCTTGTGAATTTCCCACCAAGGATCAGTAAAGTCTTGTGATTATACTGTAGTTTTTGTATTAATCTGGTTCTGGAAAGTAACTAGTAAGCAAAGTTATAAAAATAAATGCAGTGCAGTAAAAAAGTACAATATTTGCCTCTGAAATGTAGTCAGAGTATGAGGTAGCACAAAATGAAAATACTCAAAGTGAAGATACCTCAAAATTGTACTTAAGTACAGTACTTGAGTAGATGTATTTAGTTATTTTCCACCTCTGAATTCAAGGAAGACATGGACAAAGTCCATGATTAAGACCTCATCTGAGATTGGAAAGTGAGGTTTTCTCATGTATATTCATCGCTCTAGAGAGTGCCAGTAAGTTCATGTACTGTAAATGTCCAGTCACAGTTGTTGAGCCAATTATGCAGGGAGAATATTGAATGATGAAATAATTCAT